GAATCTTTCGCATTTGCAACATATAAACCAAAATCAGAAAGGAAAGTTAAAAAGTTTGTTCATTCGTTATATAATAATGTTCAAAAATATGATAACTCAGTATGTGGTAAATATATTGACCCTTCAGAAGTTTTCAAGAAAGCAAATGAAGAAGTTGATGTCACTTTTGATATGATTATTCCGGTAAATGATTTGTTAGCATTTCAGGCGTTCGATGATTATCCTAAATCATTTGGTGAAATCATTCTTAAATATTATGTTTTCAGGGATACTTTAGTATTTTGTCAGGTTGACCCGTTAAGAGTTGCTGATTTACAAAATTACGTTTATGAAAAGATAACTGATGAAAATTATGAAAAGATTATGAATCATGTTTATAAATATGATCGCAAATTCCAACAAATCGGACTTCCTGCCAAATTAATTACAAGCTTAGCCGCTACATCTGCTGACGCAACAGTTGATGACGTTATTATTTCATGCACAAAGATGGAAGTTTTAGAGGATAAATGCATTACACCAGGATACGGTTTAATTGAAGAATCAGTTAAAGCAATACCACGTTTATTCAGTAAGGAAGATCCATTCATGATTCCAGCTCAACATATTGACGTTCGTTCACTAAATGGAGGTTGCATCACTCCTGAAGGTATTAGCTCAGATTTCTCATACGCTCTTCATAATGTTACAGATGTTGTGTTAACATTTCCGAAGAATGCAATGCAAAGAACAGTTTTAGAAAATCCAATGCTTCGAGGTCTTCAGGTCACTATAGATTCCAGAAACTTCCCCGATCAAGCGATGACCACAGTGGGCGACATATTCTTTACACGTATGCTTCAAGCTTCTGATTTAGATGGAGTGAATGAATGCACAGAAGAATACGAGGACTCATTAACTAGACCATTGAATGCAGATGATGGCACGCCATTAGCTAGAACATGGAAAGACCAAACTTCATTCTTATGCACTATTCCAGTTCAACGTGATGGAGCGGGTATATTCTTTGATGGATTAGAAACTTTCAACTCACAAGTTACAGTACAAGTGAAAGCATATCCAATCATTCAGGGTGAAAACGATACTTACTGTTCAAAGGTGACAAATCCTCCTCAGGTTTGGTTTACTAGGACTACATATTGGACATGGACACCGGATGAAGGTTTGAAATATCATCCAACAGGTACACCACCACAGTATAGAAGTTCATATGATGAAATATTGATGAATAGAAATGTTTAAAATTATAAATTTATTTTTGATTAAATGGATTTAAATTCATACACTCCTTATGAAGAATTAGCAGGAGTATATAATACATACGTAGATGATATGATTAATGAAGCATTGAGTGATAATAGAAATGCTCTATCTAAGGAAAAATTAATGAAAATTCCATATTCTGAATGTTACTTAAATTCAATCACTGCAGCAATTGGTAAACAAAATAAAGGTAAAACATTAACGATATTAAAACAAATTATCATTATTGCTAACACTTCACCCTATTCACATGTGTTAATTTATATCAACCGTTCAGGTTCACCTTCAGATGATACATTTGAATCTTTAAAGCATTTAATCAAAATTCCAATTATTTATTTATCAACAAGAAGAAGCAGAAGATTATTTAAAAAACTTTTTAATGTATAAAGAATTATATAATACAATCAAGAAGCAAGGATTAGAGGATAAAATTATTGATAAACAACGGGATGAATTATTTGAAACACTTTCTATTTCAAATTTGATAGAGAATTTTTGCATTCACTCATTTTTCTAGATGATGCAGTGAAATCAAAACTAATAACAAACGAGAAATCATATTTTAATCAGTTATTAACTCAATGTCGACACATTCAGTGTTCATTCTTCATGGCTGTTCAATATTTCAAAGCATTAAGCACAAACATTAAATCAAATCTATCAACACTTTTCATTTTCAGTGGGTTTAGTCGTCAACAGTTGAACGTTATGCTTTATCAAGTGAATTTACCAATGAGCATTAATGAACTTTACACACAATATCAGCAATTAGGTGAACATGGAAAAATAATAGTTGATTTAAATAAAGGAAGTGTTAAATTTGATTAACTTTTTATAATTAATTTTTATTTTTTATTTATAATTAAACATGACAGAAATAGCAAATCTTCTACAGGTTCCATTAAAACAAGGGACAAACAAAAAGGGTGCATATAATAGAACTATGAAAGTTCCTGATGGAATGAAAGAGTTAGTTCATATTGTTGCTGGTCTTCAAAAAGATGTTAAACAAATGAGAAACGTTTTAACATTACCAGAAGCTCAAGCATATGCCAAACGTCATGGTCCAAATTGGGAAGCACACGAAGCAGACATTACGGGTCCAAATGGAAAACCTGATGGAATAAATGAAGTTTTCGTTACTGATGGTCAAGGTAATATTAAAGTCATAAATGGTTATAAATTAACTATATCTGATTATCCTAAACGTAAAGCATATAATGAACGTTATCCTATGCAATTTGATGAAAATGGAAAAGCTGTTAAACAATACATTGGAGAAGGTGAAAATGGTCCAATTAATTCATACCGTCATAATCCATATTCTTATTTCAATGAAGAATTAAATGCTATTGAAGAAGGACCAAACGGATTACCTCAATATGTTAATCAGTTTGATGGTCAATATGCAAATTTGAGACCTGAAATTCCAGCTAAGAAATTCTTTAAAGTTGCTTTATTCGATCCAGTGTTCAATGAACAGAAAGAAGCAATGAAAGCAGAATTTAAACCAATTCAAGTGGCAAGAATTTCTTCATCTTCACTTTCAGAAGCGTTCAAGGAATTGATAAAGAAACCACTTTATTCTCAACAAGGATATAACTTTGATTTAATTAAAGAAAGTGATAGACGTAAATTAGAAAAATCAGATGGTTTTAAGAATGCATGTAATGAAATGATTAAAGATATTGTAAATGATAAAATAAGACTGGAAGAAACTCAAACCATTATCAATAACATAATTGGTGCAGTTACAAAGAAAGTATAAGCAAACAAGGATGAACCTTGGGATATTACCGTAACAACTAAATAAAACTTTAAATATATTTTTCTTTTTTTATTCGATTATAAATGAGAAGACGTTTCACAAGTCAAAAGAACACAAACGCAAAAGCAGAGATTACGGTTGGTTATAACGTAAATGATGATAAATCACGAATTATTCAAAATGTTAAAGTTAATGTTAGTCCTGAATTAACAAGGTCAGCAACTCAACCAAATTTATTAACTCGTGACTTACCAAAGAAAGAGGAAGAGCAAAATAAAGAAGATGGAGACCCAATCATTTTATCTGAACCTGGTAAAGAACCTGTTGAAATTCCCACTTATCCAACATACCCAGCACCACTTGATAACCCATATAAAATAGACATTAATTCTGAATTAATGAAAATATATCGCGATATCATAACTGATAATTATGATTCAATAATAAATTTAATTGACCAATCCGGTTTAATTATTTTACCTTATGAATCATTAATTCACATTATTGCCATTCTTTGTGATGTTCAAGATTCAGACGTTAAGATTCAATTTTTCATAGATGATGAGGTTTCATGCTGCGGAACAGTTGCAAAAATAAATCCTATAAAGGATATTAGCACAATTAAGATATCAAAGAACGGAACAACAACTGAACTTCATTTAACATATAATGATATTTATAATAAAATAGTTGATGAATATAAAATATCACTTGAAAAATTCTTTGTTAAGGCTATTTAATATTCAAGCATTAACATTATCGAATAATAATCCTTTGAATCATAATCAATAATAATTGACCTTTCACCAGTTTCTATCGTTTGTTTTATTTCTTTTTGTTCCCCACTATCCGGATCAGTCATTGTAATTGTTTTTGTTATAGTATCTGCTTTATCTTTAACTTTCAATCTTTTTTCCATCAGGATATTTAAACCAAAATTCCAAAAATTCGATATTGTCAATCTGTTCATATTTTAATCTATCAATTACATTTTTAATACCATCTGAAAATCTTATGAAATGGTCATTATATGGTTTGATTGAACTAAATTTGAATGAAGTGAAATATAACCTGATTGATGATATGACATCGACTCATATTTTCTGAAAACACTAAAATTTATAACATGAATGAATTTCTTATTCGTTGAATTTATGAATTCTTGAGGTAATCTTATTCTAGTTTTATTTATCACTGGAAAATAACGCTTTACCATATTTTTAATCGTAATAAAAATGTCATTATCAATATTATTTCGAATAATAACTGTGAATTAAATTTAACAGTTAGTGGATTTATAATGTTACTCTCGTTTCTGTGAGTGGTAAATTTAATCCCATTCTTTTAGACCCTTCGGATTATATATCATTTATTAAAGATGACCATGAAAAAACGTATGATATGTATATAATAATGTGATAGTGAGGGGGGATATTAACACAATTTTAAGTTATTTAAATGAATCATTTATATCGTATGGTATGAAGAAAATTTTAAATCAAAACCCGATAAACTTTTTGAACTTGATGAAATAAATAACCTTATTAAATTTCCGCTGAAAATTAAATTTTGTACTCCTCGTCTTCGTTCATTGTTGGGGATATTAAATTTTGAAAAAGATGCTGGGATGTTTTATTCTGACACTGGTTCCAATTTCATTTTAATCAAATGTGATAAAGTTAATACCCCAATGAGATTTTCACATCAAACATTAGACCCTAACTCTTACCCATCAATACAAAACATTTTATCCATCAACTTAAACATATTTTCTTTATCATATCCGTTTCAATTATCCGGGAATTCATTTATTCTTCATTCAAAAGATTTATCAAATATTAAATTTAGAATAACTGACCTATTTGATTGTGATTTAGAATTCATGAATGAAATATTATGGCAATTTCAAATAGAAAAAATAGCTGATGAGATAACGGATTAAATATTTATTTTTAAATCGTAATAAATGATTAAACAACAGCAACCACAGACCATTACATACGCCACATATGCATATAATTCAAAGACGGCAGAACAAACGCAAAGGTTGAAATATGGAGATTTGGAAATAGTATTGAAAAATGACCATTTCGAATTCGTTTGCAAAGGTGGTGCGGTGATATCAAATATAAAAGAAATTTTATTTATGAATTCAAAAATTAAAGGAATAACGGATGATATAACATCAATTCCACCAGAAGAACAAAGATATTACGCATTAAATGCATTTCCTAAAGTTTTGAAGATTGGAAGATTTAATTTAAATGAGGAATTCATAAAAGGTTTCCTAAATGACATAATGAAGAAGGCAGATAAAACTTATGTTAACGATGAGTTAGGGAAGAAGGCAGATAAAACATATGTTAACGATGAGTTAGTGAAGAAGGCAGATAAGGAATATGTGGATGAAAAAGATAATGAAATTATAGAAAGGGTTGAATGGTATCATGAATGGGCATCAAAGATTTTAAAAACTAAAGCTGATACAGGGTGGGTTTCAGGATGTTTAGACCTTAAAGCAGATAAAACATATGTTAACGATGAGTTAGGGAAGAAGGCAGATAAAACATATGTTAACGATGAGTTAGTGAAGAAGGCAGATAAGGAATATGTGGATGAAAAAGATAATGAAATTATAGAAAGGGTTGAATGGTATCATGAATGGGCATCAAAGATTTTAAAAACTAAAGCTGATACAGGGTGGGTTTCAGGATGTTTAGACCTTAAAGCAGATAAAACATATGTTAACGATGAGTTAGGGAAGAAGGCAGATAAAACATATGTTAACGAAATATACCAAAGTTTAGTTGGAACAAAAAATATTGAAACTATTGTTGGCGATGTTTCTATCTATGAAGAAAACAAATATTTTAGATGGGAGTTTGTACAGTCCTTAAGAAATGGTATACGGTATAAACTCATTCCGAAAAATAACAATGAAATGTATGTAGGCTATATAAAGAATAATGGCACACAAGTTAAAGTTCCATTAGACAACAACTGCTACTTAAACTTATATGGAGACGAACAAAAGAAATATTTAAGAGTTTATGAAATGGTAGATATGACATTACCTGACCCAGCTCCAGCACCATATTATTATGACTATGGGGATGATGTCAGAACACCACATGTAGATGAACAAAAGTTAACATTATATTTAGATTATTATAGATATAAAAGATATAATGCAATAGAAAAAACGAGAATAGTATATTATTATACAGATGACAGAAATAAATATTATAGTCAAGATTTTACCTACCCTGAAAACATAAGATTATATTATAAAAAATATTCTGACACAAACCAGAAGAAACCTGAAATAGTTACACTATATTTTAAGTTCAAAAGAGACAATCCTATAATATCTCATATGTTTGATTTAATGAACCCAGTAGGTTCTATTTATACATCTATGGATGCAAGAGGTCCTCAAGTAATGTTTGGTGTTGGTGCATGGGAACAAATAGTTGACAGGTTTTTGTATTGTGCAAACTCTTCAAAGGAAACAGGGGGAAGTAAAACGATTTCAGGTGAAAATTTACCTGCACATAGTCACTACGTTAATTTAAGCACATCTCAAGCAGGTTGGCATAAGCATAGATATTGGGATTGGTCAGGAATGACAAAAGGTAAAGGATATGATGTTAAAGACGACGTTAAGTTTGCCATAAATTGTTACTGGAGTGACACTCAGGGAGAAGGAAACCATACACATTTCGTTTCAGGATATACACAAACAACGGGACAAAGTAAAGAATACATGCCACCATTTATGACTGTATTCGCATGGTTCAGAGTTGCTTAAAGTCCCGAGCTCAAAAAATAGTGACAACATGACATTTTGACAACAACATAGGAGGAAGGCAAAAATGACTTATTTTTGAAGAACTGAAGGTGTCACCAGGTTGTCATGTTGACGACATGACATTGTGTCAACAACACAGGAGGAAGGCAATAATGACTTATTTTTGAAGAACTGAAGGTGTCACCATGTCACCATGTGTCACCAGGTTATTTAACTTCTCTGAAAAATAGTGACAACATGACATTTTGACAACAACATAGGAGGAAGGCAAAAATAAATTCCAATCATACTTTATAAAGCATCATTTACAGGTATTTCATCGTCAGTAAATGAATCCTCATTATCGTTTTGTTCAACCTGTTTATATAATCCTTTCATTTCTTCTTTCAAAACATAACACCATGTTTGTTTACCATCTATTCTTACCTGTTTCCTATCACATTTATCCTTAATGCTCATTTGGAAATTCTTGTCTTTCATGTCTGATGGTTTGCAGAATAGAGCATTTTTACATGTCATACCTGCATTCAATTCATCATAATGTGTATTTATCCATACATCTAAAGGATTTGTTGATAACTCGATTAAATCTTGTTTGGCTTCAGTCATCGGTATGATTCGTACATTAAATGATGAAAGGTCATATTGCATAAAATACGTCAGTAAATTATCATAAAATTCCTTTGTGCATGAATCCATTAAATTCTTGAAGTAATCAAATTGACCCTTGAATTTACCATTAACCCTTAAAACTACGTATCTTCTGTCTCCAACTTCAATTTTGACAGGGTAAACGTTATTAGTTACGAAAATGAAGTTTGCAACGTTCTGAGCAGTTCTTCTGGGTTGATTCTTTTCATTAATTCTAATCTCATTATCCGTAATAATTGATTTCAAAGCGTTGAAGTTTGCGAGTCTGTCTTCACCTACATTCTTGAGTTCATTAAGTACAAGAAACATTTTATTTTCAACTACTGAGTTGAAATTACCCGTTAACTCACTTATTTCAGTAATGTTTTTGCATGAATAACCAGCGAGAAGTTCAGAAATAATGTCTGTGAATCTGTTTTTACCTGTTCCCTGAAGTCCTTTCAAAATAATTGCTGTTTCATTCTTGATTCCAGGCTGTTGAATCATTGATGCAATCCAGCCGAGTAGGTATTTATACACTTCATCGTTATTATCACAAATGGCTTCTTTAATGAAATTCATAAACATCTCAATTTTTGAGTAATCAAGCTTTTCGAGAATGTTGTATTTATAACCTTGAAACGTTGAGAAAACATCTGGGGAATCAGATTTAAAGCAAACACCCTTAACGGTTAATGAGGATAATTGATTTAGTAGTACGTCCCATGCTGTTATGGTTTTACCTTCTTCTTTAAATAATTTAATCATTTTGAGTGACTCTTTCATGTTTGATTGAAGAACGAATGATATTTGATTCATTTTGTCGTGTAATCTTTCTGAATGAAATATTTGTTTCCACAATCTACAAAACGAATGACACGTGATAAATCCTCAATTACTTCAGAACTGTTTTTATACTGATGATTTTCAGCCTTGCGTCTAATATCTGTTATCAAAAACGAGTCATCAAGTTTTATATCAAATGTTATTTTTGGCTTACGTAATAAAGGCAAAACGTATTCATCATAATATTCCTTTTGATAAAGTTTTAGAATCTTCACCAAAACAAATGGAGAAGTCATTAAATGTGCATATCTATCACGTGCTTTTTCAAAATTACTTTTTGCATTTTCTGTTAAACTGCAGAAGTTATAAACGTTATCGTATGCTTCATTAATTAAATGATTAGGTAACGAATTAATAGCTTGAAACAGTGTGAATAATGTAACTTCTTTTTCTAAATTCATGTTTCCACCATCATTATGTACTTCAAAATCACAGATGCCATCAACTATGCTCTGGGCAAGTTTATCGTCAATGTTTACATCTTTGTTTTCATTCATAATAGTCTTTATTTCTTCATTCTTCTGTTCAACTCTTACCTTAATATTCAAATCATTTAATATATCATTCACTGTTCTAGTTAATGTTGAATCATAACTTCCACGAATGAATGAGTATGTATTGATTGGTTCTGATGCATTCTTGCGAACTCTTGAATCAGCCATAACCACTAATGAACGCTTTGAATCATCCATTGAAGTCATTATGTCAATATCATAATCATTGCAGGAATAACATTTAATCATTCTGTTCGAGGTTGAATAGAAGAAATTAGTGTTGCAATAAATGTGAAGACCTCCTGAAGCGGTTTTAACGATAACATCTTTATCCGAAAGTTTTGATAAAATGTCTTTTCTAACTGTTTCTTTAAGTTCATCATTGTATGATTTATTGATATCAACATCTATAATCGTTAAATTTGAAATTTTATTTACTAATAAAGCTGTACCAGTTTTCCTTCCTCTTCCTCCATCATGTTTGAGGTAGTTATGTAAATCAATCTTGTTTTCACCAATTCTTTCGTTGAGGGTTTTAGTTTCTGCCACAACTAATTCCTCAACTAATGAATCAATAACTTTTTCATCAGAAACGATAAAGTCGATGTTGTTGTTTGTTGCTGTCATTTATATAGGAATAAAAAAATAAAAATAATTTTAAAACTAACCTTATTTTTGGGCTGCATCATATTTTTATGTTGTCAAAATGTCATGTTGTCACATTTTTTCAGAGAAGTTAAATGACCTGGTGACACATGGTGACATGGTGACACCTTCAGTTCTTCAAAAATAATTCATTATTGCCTTCCTCCTGTGTTGTTGTCAAAATGTCATGTTGTCACAAACTTTAGAACAGCATAATTTAAATTTTTATTTTTATCATAAATGAATACCCCACAAGCTCAAAATTTACCACGAATCATAACAAGGGAGGAAATGATAAAAATGATGCGAGAACATGTTAAAAATAACAAACCACTTAAACTGAGAAAATGCGGTTATGCAGTAATGATGGAAAGAGAGATGTTGTCGAAGAGGAATAAAAATTAAATTTGGATAGAGTTTAAAAATTCATCTTTATTAAATTCATCTCTTCCAATCAATTTATTTATTCTATTAAATTCTTTTATTTTTGCTTCACTCAGTTTAATGATTGAACGATAAGTTTCTAATTTTTCGATTATTTCTTTATCGTTTTCAACCCCACCACATTGCGGCTTCTTTTTGTAATAACATATTTTTGATTTAATTCTGTTTAGTTTCTTTTTATATTCATCGTCTGGACTCTTGACTGCTTTGTTGTCACTCATTTCTTACGAAATAAAAAATTAAATATTATTTAAATATAATGGAGTAATAAAATAAATCGGAATTTCTATTAATTTATTGTCAACTTCAACTAATGCATTGCCGTTAATATATCTAACAAATTCAGCTATTGTGTCAAATCTTCGTCTTCTTTTTGTCGTTGATTTATCAGTTTTTCCATAATCAAGATGAATTAAAACTTTATTTCCTTGTTTAAAATTCATGAGCCCCGAATTAATTTGTTCACGTTTAACATCATTCAACCTTTCCATTTGCTTTCTAATATATTCCCATTCTTTTGAAATATCATTTTTCATTTCCACTGGTTTCATGTTTATAGTTCTATGCCATGTATTATTGTAATAATATACTAACTGCTGTATGATGGAGTCATGATTTCCATCCCAGTATATCTGACCGTTAACCCCTAACGCATCTCTAAGAGTTCTCATTACCGCATCAACTATTTTATTATGAAACGTATATGGAGAGGATGAGAAGTAAAAATTAATTTGTGGGAAATAATGAGTCATAACTGCCCGAAATCCTTTATCACCATCACCCCTGATATTATCTACTCTTTCATGATCTATTATATAACACCATTCAATCTTCCCGGCATATACATTTCATGGTCAGTATATTGAATGAAATCATGAGGATTAGATGAAAATGATGAAGGATATAATGAATTGAAATCAACACCAACGAAATGAGTCATAATGTTGGTGGTGTCCTCATTTGATACTGTTTTAGTTTCTGGATTATATGAAAGTTTATTAATGTGCGTGATTCCTTTAAGATTTACTCTATGTTGAACATTTGATAGACCACCAGTAATTCCATTACGGAGAATGTGATAAGCTTCAACTGAATCTAAAGTCATTGGTAAATTATTTTTTAATGCATAATTTCTTAAATTGATTCTTAAACGTTGAACATCTTCATCTTTATTTGATTTTACGACATTGCAATAACAACACATTAACTGACAATTTTCTTTGGTATGTGGTTTTTCATTATCGATTCTATCCAATGTTGGTTTATTAGCATATGTAAACGCTTTACCACACATTTTGCATTTAGATGAAAGGATTAAATCGTGATAGTATTGATAGTCATCCATTGAAACATTGTTTTTAGTATCCCTTTCTGCTTTTTCATCTTGTTTCTTATATGATTCAATTTTATATTTCCAATACTTTTTCGTTAATTCAAAACTTGATTCCACATTTTCTTCTTCTGGATATGTTTCATTAGGATTAAAGTCTTTATATGCTAAAGCGTAACGAATCATTGATGCATTCGATGATAAAGAAAGATTATGAAGCATATCAATTTTATAAACAAATGTTTCTTCAATAATTTTATCAATTGGGTCAATCATAATTTCAACATCTTTATTGCAATAATGAATAAAATATTCTAATCTATTCTTAAAATTTTTAGCATCATTGAGATATATTTGATAATCACTATCTGATATAGTTTCTTGAGTTAATGCTGAATAAAATGAATCTTGAGTGAATGGTTCCTTTTTATATAATTCATCTTCGTAATTCTCCCATGTGATGAATTGATAAGGGAAAAAGGATTTAACACGTGATTTATTGTTTCCGAAATCTTGAGTGAATTGGTCTAATGTTCCACCCGCTATATAATTTCTGATGTCAATAAATCTTAATTCATATGGACAGTTTGTTTTCTTTACTATGACTTGCTTAAATTGAGAAGAAGAACCCAGCATTGATTTTATCTTCCATTTTGCAGTATTTAAATCACGAAGAATTAAATTTAAATCAAACTTTCCTGAATTAAAACCAATGATATTCACTTTATTAAATTCTTCATCTAAAAGCTCTTTAAATGCTTCCTTCTGTTTTTCATTTAATGTATGAGACAAAGTCCCCGCCGTTTGGTCCGTTTGCGACTTCATTAATTCTTCATATTGTTCAATATTTGATTTAGCAACTAATGAACAGGTTGAAAATAAAAACTCAATCCAATCAGAAATAAAAGAATCACTCGAAGTTAAGCAAAAATTCCTCGTATATGTTTTATCGTTTAATTTAACCGTTGATGATACCATGAATGGTTTTAAGTAAGCGTTCAAAGTTGCACATTCAGAAAGTTGAAGTTCTTCTTTAGTCTCTAATGTTTCGAAGTCAAAAGTAATATAATATCTTGTTGGTTTATAATATTCCTGCAAATTATGTGCTAATAGCCATTGATATATCTTCTGTTTCGTAATATGTGGTGCATATGGTTGTTGTGTGTTTTGCAATTGAACGTCTTGAATTAATCTTCCATTATTTTCTTTACATTTCTCACAATGTTTTAAAAATCTTCTTTGGTTTTTCCTTTCTGGATCATCACGGATAGAATATACTTCTTCTTTGCAAAAGGGGCAAACTTTATATCCTGTGAGTGCTTCAACGTCTGTTATTCTGTCAGCGTGAAGTTTTCCACATGGACTCTGTGTTAATAAAATATTTACTGTTTCAAATTCTGGATCTATCATTATTGAATCCACTAATGGAAAGTCTACCTTGTTAATGTCTACGTCTTCTGGTTGAGGATCACAATAATAGAAATCAATATTAACATTTAACATTCTTGCTAATCTCTCACTTTCTGATGAAATGTCAAATCCTTCATATACATCTATGGCTTCATTTAAATAACTTCTACGAGTTTTAGGATTAACGCCATCAGGAATGTTATAGAAGCGTTTAAATAACCTTCTACCTTCTGCTCTAATTTGATTATCATTCATTCTAGCTGTTCCATTTTTATTCATTTATGTAAGAAAAAAAATTAAAAAAATAAATAAAAATAAAGTTTATTTTTTTTAAAGTCCAGGGCTAAAGTCCATAAAATGAATTAAGAACACATAAATTTTTATCATCTGTGACGTGACGAATACATTTTAATTTACTCAAGAATGCGTACCCTGATACATTAAATCTAATTCCTGTCTTATTTAATTTCACAACTTTGAAAAGGAATGTATGAATAGCTATAAAATGATGAGATGATGTTTTATGGGTTGCTTCCATTTTTTCTGAAATAAATGAATAAATATAATGCTTATACGTTTTCATATCTTTTATATTCTTAATAACGAATGGTATAGACCTTTCAACTTCGTCTTCCTTCGGTGCTGTTCTTTCATATGAAACATTATTGGTATCTTCAATAATGAAACCACAATCACATAAAATTTTATAGGTTCCAATTGTTTCTTTTGATATTTTATCTAACAAATCAAAAACTTTATCAACACCTGTACATTTATTTAAATAATAATTTGTGTAAATATCATGATCTTCTTTCTTAATCGTATTTGTTGCATATGTTACATTTTTCAGTGCTTTTTTGAATTTTTCAGAATCAAGAGGAGGTGAAAGTAATATACATGGATAATCTCCATCGTCAATAAATTGTAACTTATGTTTATGAATAAATTTTGTGCCTTCTTCTGAAAGTGTTTCGTCAATATCACCATCTAATAAATTTTTAGTAGATTCCAAAAAGTAATTTTTATATCTTTCCTCATGTGATTTTTGAACTTCTGATTCTGAAGCTGGGATATTCATTAAACCCTCTACTTCATTCTCAGCATTTCTCAATTCCTTAATTTTTTCATCTATTTCATTTCTTAATTGTTCCAATTTCTCAATCTCATCGTTATAATATTCATCATCTTTAATTCGTTCTTCATAATATTCAGGGAAAACATCAGGTTCTTTAGGTTTTTCTTCTTTTTTAGATGTGGGATATAAGAAATTTATAACATCATCTTTATTCATTTTTCCATCATAATCAAACTCATTTAAAAACTCCGCGAATTTTTGACAATTTCTTAAATAATATTTATCAACCTCATAACCCGCCTCCTCTAATATATCCTTTATTTCCCTGTTTGTGAATCCTAATTTTTTAACGTCGTTAGTCTTGACACTCATTTCATACAAAATAAAAAAATAAAATAATAAACATAACTAAGTTTTAATTTTTCGTAAGAAGTTTAACCCATTCAGGATTTAAACAATGTTTAATTAATCGCGGAATATCTGACATCATCTATATATAGCTTCTTTTATAAAAGATAAAATCATAAATTATTTTAAAATTAATGTTAATTTTTTAAAAAAATTATTTTTTATTTCATTATGTATGGGCTGAGTGTAAATGTCTTACAATTTTGAAAATTTTTTAAATCTTGATTTATTCAAAAACGTAAGAATAAAAACCGTAAGAATCATACATTTTTTACTTCATATGTTAAAAAAAATGATACAAAATCGCTCGATATTGTATGAATTCTTACGTTTACAAAAAAAGTCACAAAACCCGCACTCATATACTACTTTTAGATTTAAAACAATATTTTTCTCCATATTATTATAACATGAATCGCTATGATATAAGAAATATATTTTCAATATTGAAATTGAAAAATTCTAAAATTTTTGAAATTCAATTTGAGTGTGATGATCGATAACATATATTTTTTAATTAAAATATTGTGTCGCTATCATATAAATATACTATTTCTAAATTAAAAATAGAAAAAAAAGTACTATTTAATGATGAAATTGCAAATAATATCAATATATATATATTCATGCTGATATATTTTGGGAACAGATTGGCAATCACATAAATAGGATTGTGTTAGTTTGTCATGGATATAAAACAAATTTTCGAGCTAATTGAGCGAATTTAAATCACAAACACTTATATTTTCTATTACAAGGTATATTTGTAATATACAACCAGTAAATAGCTTTCTCCGACTTTTACCAGCTTAGATGATAGCAAATTAGATACGAATTTCATGACCCCTCACCAAATTCCACTAAAACATATACAAATAAAAGTACTAAGTGGGTATCATCTAACCCTAGAATTATAGCTCCTAGGACTCATCCTAGATGGTAGTTCTGGAAAAACACCTGGTTTTTGGAGTTGCAAAAGTTAAAAATTGAGGGTATTTTTTTTGATTGTTTGCTAATCATTTTCTATGAAATCCTATTATCTTAAGAGCGAATCCTTGAGGTATTTTAATGACCTACCAACCTCAAATTTCAAATTACAACATTTTTTCCAACTTTTTTCTCTTCAAATAAGAATTTGAAATAAAAGTGTCGTAATTTTCATGGATCCCATACATAATGCAAACAATAAAACAGAATCTCAGCATGTGGCTTTTGATCTAGATACAGAACTACTAGATGAATTAGAACAATTATGGACTAATAACGTTGAAAATTTCAACATTTCCAATTTACAATTAAAAATACATCACAGCTTTTCAATTTACAGAATCTTAGATTTACTATCATTCTGCCTTCCAAAGAAGTTTAATGAGATTGCATATGCTTGTTTTAAGTATTACGATTCGAAAAAAAATGAAAATGGGAAACCAGATATATTTACATTACAATCAGCAATAACCTACGACAAATTGATTAGCTACCTAATTAAAAAAGGTCTACAGCTTGATTCAAAATCTGATAAATATAATTCATGGGAATTTGAAGGTGACATCTATCTACCACCAAAAGATTCAATAGAGCGTGCAATAATTAACGATAATGTTGAAGATTTCTTAAGTTTTGATCCAAATCCGAAATCAGTTTACGAATTTTTAGCAGATGCAGCTTACTATGGATCTACCAACATAATCAAGCACATCATTGCACTAAATCAAACAGATGACATAGAAACTTGGTACAAAGTTTTTCAACTCGCTTTAGTACCTTTGAATCTAGACATTATAAGGAGTATCAGCAATTTACTTGATAACGATTATATCAGTGATATTAAATCTGTTAAAATGGTAATAAAATGCCATCATAACGAGTTTTTCCATTATTTACAAGAGAATAACGATGTACATTTAGATATTAAAGCAGCAGTATTAAGTTATAACTTTTATACACCTTTCGTAATCACTCCAGAAGTAATTCCAATAATAATTCAAAGTGGAAACATAATGCTCATGGAAAACATCATTGATAAGATCAAACCAATTGATAAAGAATATATTTACACGGCTTGCGAATGCGGAAATTTAGAAATGTTTCAATTTTTGATGGTAAACACACCAAAAAACTTTTTCAATAATGTAACTGATCAAGAATTAATTGTAAAGTACACAATTAACTCATGTAACATCAAATTTATTAAATTTTTGTATCAAATTTATCCGAAACTAGTTTTAGACAATTTACAAAAGATTGATTCACTAATAGTAGCTTACAATGCAAATAATCAAAAAATGAAGGATTTTTTGGAGAAAAATTTTTCATATAATTTTTCAATGGGACAAGAAGCCAATGATATGACATTTTTAATGAACTCATGCATGAGAAACGATTTTAATATATTTAAATATAAGAAATTGAAGAAAAGTAGAGAAATAATTTTATTTCCTGACGATGAAGGAAATTATGAAAAAAATCAGGGGAAATCAGAAGAAATCCCAATAGATGTTGGAGAATTGAATGTTACTGCTATAGATAAAACAGGAATGACTGCAATTTCTTATTGTATCGACAAAAACAACAGAGAATTGCTAAATTGTTTGCTAAAAATGATTGCAGAGAATGATGTTGAGTTGTACAAGACAGCAATTGTTACAGATCTTCAGATTTGTATAGATGCAGGATTAACACAGTTTTTCTCGGAAATTACTGGTGCAATTGATCACTTTGCAATCGAGAACAAAGGTAAACCAGAATTAAACACAGAAATCTTTGAATTTTCCAAAAGAGAAAATTATTATTTTTATCAAATTGATAATAAGTGGGATTGCTTTATTCTTAGTTGCATTGCCCAAGATAATTGGTTCTTTCAAGAAATTATTCAATCATGGACTGGAAAACCTTATAATGTGACAATTGACGGTTGGACGCCACTTCTGATAGTTCTAAATAATAACGATGTAACCAAATTCAATTTGATGCAGCAAGCTAATTATAAAATAGAGAAAAAACAAGTTAAACCAGAAAAATTGAATCCATTAAGAATTGCTACTCAAACAACAATTCAGGGAGCGTTTGAGTATGTCATGGATGCCCTTCCCGATGATTATAAAAGAGAAATTGTCAACATTGAAGATGAATCTGAATTCTTCCCACTTTTCCCTGCAATTAAGAACAAGAACATGAATATGGTAAAAGAATTACTTAGATTAGGCGCTAATCCAGACAAAGCAAACAAAAATGGAGTAACTTCAACTTTCTATGCATATATGGGGTCTGGGCAATTCTATAACTCCTTCTTAGAAGCAGTTAAAGAAAATGCCAAATATAAGAAATAATAAATGTTATTTTTTTATCCTATCTTTATAAAATTTGATTTTTTTTCTTTGTTGTGGGAATTATGATATCAAATTGTTTTGTTATTAGAATCTCTAATTAAATTATATGGTTTGGATCAAAGAATTTGCAAAAATTGAAAAATTATTCTCATATCTCATGAATATTCCTCAATTTGATGAGAAATCGTGCATGATTATATGTTTCTATGATGTGTCATTAGATTATTCAGATTAGAATCAAATTTTGAATTCAATATTGATCATAAAATGGGCCAAATATACTATAAATAGAGAGTATTTCTATAGGATTATATGATGTTCGGTATGACAGATGCCTTCATTTTGATCGCTGGGGAATAAAAAAAAATTATTAATTTTTTTTTTCGATGTTATTAAAGCTAATTATATTAGTTTTAATAGCAGTATTGATATACTTCATTCTTAAATTTTCTGTCAAGTCCATTCTCAGCAGCTATGCCGAAGTACAAGGACAGAAAGGCATTTTTTCATATGAACATATTCAATTCAAGAATAAAGGTGTCAACGTCATTCTAAAAGATGTTAGTTTATTCATAAATCCAATCGCCTTCTTCACGAATCCAATATATTTGCTGTGGTTTGATGCCAAATCGATAGCTGTTGATGTTTCATCAATTGAGTCATCGCAAACAGACAAACCAGCTGAAAAAGAAGAAAAGGAACCAGATTATGTCCATACAACCCTTCTAACTCTTTTTGGATATTCAATAATAAAGAGGATTCATCTTTCAATTGAGAATCTTATATTCAGTCTTCAAATTTTTGACTTATCGATTAACGCCCGCGGTCTAGTTCTTGATTATTCCAATTCAGAAGGCTCAAATCTAAAATTCAAGTATCAAATTGTGACAATCAAGCATGAGAAGCTCGGAACATACTCATTTGCTGAAGCTGAATACTCATTATATGTTGCTAACCATGCAATTGTCAAATTATTTAGCTTTGCCAACTCAATTTACGCGCTTTCGATGAATATATCAAACCTATCGTTTGAGACAAAGGCCAATACATTTACGATCAATCCATTTTCCGTTTTCTTCGAACTTTATCCAGGAAAATTACATTTCGACTTTCCGAAGTTCGAGTTGACTTTAGTAGATAAAATCCCAGAGGCCTCGGTCACAATCGATAAGATCGACATTAATTTCGTATATCCAATCTATCATTTCCATCATTTCAATTGCGACAACCTTTATAGCGAAGTTTTCGGACTTAAGATCAAATGCAAGTCAGAAAAACTATTCACCATCGACAAGCTTTCATTCTTGAAGCAGAATCTTACATACGGAAGCCCAGTTATTGTTATTGATCATCTTGATGTTGATTACTCAACATTAGATGGACTTGAGCTCTTCCAAATCATTCCGAAATTACGTGGCAACAAACCTTACACACCGACAAGGATTACTTTCGACTTCCCAGACTTAGATGCGACAATTTTCTACGTAAACCTCTCATTCAGACTTACAGACGAGGCTATTGTCACTGCTTCATCATACAACGCCACATACAAAGAGAAAGTCATATCTTTCCCTGACGTAATTATGAATTTAAACGGTGTCAAAACATTTACAGTGGAAAAGCTCCAGATTTTATCAGAAGACAAAACTTTCCTCGATATCAAGGCTGACTACTTCTCATTCCGCGACCAAAACAAGGTAGATATCGCTGAATTCATTAATCATTTCACATATATGATCTCAGTATTGAAACCGTACATTTCTGCTCATATATTTGACAGCGAGACCCTTCCATTCCCCATCAGAATCGCTGTTTCAGAAGCCAAATTCGCGTTTGAAGATTGCGAGATCAATAATACACTTTTGAACGTAACAAAGAAGCTCCCTGAGTTCATGCGCGATAGCGTTGTCCTTAAATACATCTTAGACTTGAAGGTGGAGCAATGTCCTCTGTCAGATATTCAAGCCAAGCTTGCCAAAGAGAAAGTAGGCGAATTGATCTTCCACAACTACCGTAAGATATGCGATAACATGAAGAAGTACGACAAAGTCGCTATAAAAGGCTCCGAAATCTTATTAGAAATGGATTCTCGTGGTTTTACAGGAATGGTCTCTAAAATCCACGAATTCGACCCAACAGTCAAAGAGCATTATCCAGATGTAGGCTGGGAAACATTAGAAGGCTTTAATTTCAACTTGACAGTTGAAGATTTCGATGTTTACTTCGTAGACTTACCTGAAGCCGTCATATCGATGAAGAACTCCCAAATGAAGGGCCCTGTAGTCTTCGGAGAAGTAGATGTCCACAGTTTCGTGCCAGTTCCATTCAAAGTTAACGGCAACGATTATTTAGCCCACAAAACTCCGGCCGATGTAAAATTATACTGTGATGTATCAATAAAATCCGAATCGTCACGAGTATTTTGGGGATTTTCATTATCCAAGCTTTATGATGACTTTGGCGACTTAATTGGCCGGACATTTCCAGATGGCGTCGATCCATCACCATCATTGATGTGGTGGGACAAGATTCGTTCAATGTTCCGTGGCAAATATTCATTTGCATGCAACAAATTCGTTATGGAGCTTCTTGGAAGTTCAGATCCGTATGATCTCAAAAATGTTTTGTCCTGCAACTTCGACAACCTCTTTCTCAAGTTCACCGAGGGCAAGATCAACCTCTCCACCAGTAACTACACAGCTGTTCGCTGCGCAAATGGTCCAACAATCATTTCAGCTCCAAAATTTTCAATGGTTGTCACTTTTGAATGGACACAACCAAACAATGACCAGCACAAGCACTTGACATTCCCTGATGTCACCAAATTCGATGACCCATCGAACGACACTTACAAAGATTTTAGATCCAGCGGTTTTGACATTGATTTTGACATGCATTTTGAAAAGAGCGATTTCACTTCATTTATTTCTGTGGACTACGCCCATCTTGAGTGGAACATTGCTCCCATCATGTCAATGATCATCACTCCTCCTTTGGATGAAACATACCAATACAAATACGGCGTGAAAAGGAAGAAACCCGTGAAAGTCATGAAACTCAGTCAGTTAAACAGATCTTTCACTTACAGATTCAACGTTGATTCCCTTTCTTTGAGAGTGTTCGACCATTTCCCTGCCATGGAAGATAAAATGATAAACGGTACTTCATTCGATGTCACGTTTGTCGGACCAAAGTTTTCATGTCGTACAGAGTTCCCGTACGGAGGAGAAGACTTCTACGATATCTCTATGACGTCTAATAACATTTACGTAAATTTGACAGATTTGAAAGATATTGTAAAGTCAGGTGAAGTGAAGTCATCATCAATATGTCGAATTGACAATTTAAATGCAGCATATGGTGTTAGTTCCAAGATATCCGTTGATGGAATCAGGATATACATGAACCAACTAAACACTAAATATGTTTACGAACTTGTCAAATCGATTATCCACATCAGAAACAAAATTGTCATCGCAGAAGCAGAAAAGAAAGCCAAACAAAAGATGCAAGAACAAATTGCACAAGCATTCCCAGACGAGAAACCTTCTCAACCTAATTCTCAAGCAGAACAAGGAGATCTCCTCAAACATCTCATGAGAAGAAACTCAAGCCAAAGAATAGCTACAGTTTTCGGTCAAGAAGGAAATGAGAAACAAAAAACCGTCAAAACAGATTTTACAAAGACGTTTTACACTGTTTCCATTCCACTTATCGAGATTGTCGCTGAATCAATGCACTACGAGACATTTTTGTTGAATAGAATTGTTGATTCACAACTCGTCGTCAAATACACAGAAGACAATTCATTGATGTTGATTAATTTCACAATGAATGATTGCCAATTACTGTCATATATCGGTTTTGGCGTTTCTTCTGATGACAGACCACAACCGATTGTTACAATCAACGCGTGCAAACTGACTTATTACCAACAAAAGATGGAGAAAGATCAGTGGAATGACAACATCGTTGATTGCAAAGTAGAAAGAATGACATGCGAAGCAAATACAAACCATATTGCTTCAATAAAATACTTGATTTCCGAAATAATGCCTGAATTCCCTCAATCAGAAAAAACTCTTGAAATGGCCGCTGACGATTATTTCTCTCTCAAAGCTGATTTTGAAGTTTCACAGTGCACTTTGTCACTTAAAGATCAGTTCAAAGTTGACATGACATCTGTTGTCATTTCAAGGATTTTGGGACATTTCGTTAACACGTTGAAAGGTAATTCAGATAACACAATTACCTTTGATAACATCTTCGCAAATGATACTCGCAAAGAAGCGAAATTTGGCGGAGTTGTTTTAATGAGATGGATGGATTTGACAAGTGATGATTCACCTCACTTGAGATTACAAATGAGAAAAGGTCCTCCTGTAGGAGGTGTCACAGTTTATAACCATGTCGAAATGAATATTGATCCAACAGTGTTTAATTACGATGCTGAATTCGTAAACGCAATAAGACAAATGTTTGAAGCGAATATAATAGCTCCTGAAACATCTTTGATATCAAAATATATCGAAGAAAGTGACACAAAACTGCCACAAGTTTTGGTAGAAAAAGGAATTTTGCCGAAGATCGGTGATTCATGGAAGGATTATCTCATGGCTGTCAAGTCTTCCGAACTCAACGTAATGATCAAGAGAGCGGAATCCAACTTCTTAATGAGATACTTCAAAGTTACCGATACAAAAATGAATGTGTCCTATAAAAATGAAGAGAATTCAATTATCTCAGAAATTTCTGAATTCAATGGTGAATTACATGACATAATTTACCAGGATTTGACAACAACTTTCGGTGATTTGATCAATAAGTTCATACAAACTGTTACTTTGGACATGATTCCACAGTTCTTGAAACATATGATTGGATTAGGAAAGATTTCTAGAGATAAAGAAAATGATTTACAATCATGGCTTAATAAGGATGGTTCATCAAGTGTGTTACAGAAGAAGAAACAACTTATTTTTGGTAAATCTAACCAAAAATAAATTTATATTGACATTAGAGAATTTGATTTTTTTTTAATTGTTTTTTTATTTCTTTTCTAATTTAGAAAAAAAAATTGGCAAAATTATAATTATTTATTTATTTTAAACAAGTTATTTATTATTTTTAACAAAACTATTAAAATTTATTTCCTTTCACATAACCTATTATAAAGTTAACACTAATTCTGTATGTTCCGAAATTATCAGAATATTAAGGGTGCACTTATCACTTTCTGACATTATCTCAATTTTTTTGACATTCTAGTTTTTTTATCCAATTTTTCTAAGGTAAAAAGTCATTAACTTTGTTCGGGAAGAAGTTAAATAAATCACTACTTAGTAACTTATATTAATTTTATATTTTTTGCAATCACAATAAAAATATATTGATATTATGGGAGCATGTCAGAAAGTGGTAAGTGCACCCTTAAGCGAAACTTTTATGTTTCCACTTCTCATATATGAACAAAAATCTTGCCTCTAGACATACATCCTATCATGAAATATTAGTAAAACAAAATGTGCTCAATCACATCATGAAGGTCTGAGTCATCGCCCAAGTTTCATGGTGAAGGTATATACCATCTTCGTAAATCTTTGTTATTTAGAAGGCTTCAAGCATGCCTAAGTTTATTACGGGTGTGCAGTAATTCATTCGTTTAGGGGTCTAGAATTTGTTCGATTTCCGCATTACATTTTGTTACTAAATATGATTTCCGCATTAAATTTTGTTACTAAATATGATGAAATGAGAGTGTCGTAAATCGATTAAATCGAATTTAATTCAATTTGTGAGTCTTCGAAGACTCTTTAATTCAATGCTTGAGTTGATTCCTGAAAAACTAAAACTTAAACAAAGTTTACAACTATTTAATTTTTTAAGTCGTTCTCAAAATTGAATTCAAGAGTTTAAACATATTTTAAGAGAAAATTTATAATATACACAAGATTAGAAAACAAATCGAGTCATAGTCGAATTTAAATTCAAATTAAAAAAAATTACACTTTAAAACTCTATTAATAAACAACATAAGGATATTCATGGCTTGCCTTTGGGAAGTGCCCGTGCTTTGCAGCATACAATCCTATTTTAACTGCATTAACTGATCGTTTCAAATCAACAATCACGTTATCAGCGTATTCATGATTATATCCATGGATTGAGAAAGTAAAATACTTAATATCTAAAGCTAGTGCCATTGCTTGGAAGTTAAATTCATTCCAGTTCAGTTGAATTGTAACAATTACGGAACCTTTTTTCATAAACAAAGCTCTTACGATATTGGAGCCAGTAATCGTATAAAGGAACTTAATATCACAAAAAGCTTTGGCGGCTGATGAAATATTTGGATAAAAATCCGGAATATTTTCCCAATTAATATCAGGGAAAGTTTTCACTGTTCAATTCCATAACTCATCAAAATTTGCAATCTTTCTATTAGCAGGTGGTCGTCTGTTACATATCACATATTGTTTTGCCTCGACATCTTGTAGTTTCAAATTTTTATTTAATAATTTCGATAAATTAACGTAACATGTTGCTGGATGAGAAAAATATGACGGAGGATCTACTACAGTATATAAATTATTGCAAAATACCCATTCTGTTCGACCAAGAATATGAATACTCTCATTTTTGATCCCAATCATTGTCAATAGATCAAAAACATGATTTAGACTTTTAGTCTCTGGCTCTAGTCCAACTATTACTTTAGATTTTGCCCAATATTCTCTTGGAACACACATCAAGGGACAAAGATAGTCAGTAATGAAGTGTCCATAGTAGGAACTCCATCTATGTCCAACGCATATTGCGTGATCGTAATTTCCAGCGAAAGATCTTGTTTCTCCAGGAATAAATATTTTATACGGTAAAATATCTCGAGGATCTCTTGAAAATACTCGGCGCCCATCTGATATATGACACGAGCCTGCCAAGTACACGCCCTTGAGGTGTAAGAATGTAGTTTTAAGTCTTGATGCAAATTTAATTACGTTTTTTGTTCTTGTATGATGGCACGTAGCACAGTAATTCCATGAAAACTTCGGTCTGACTGTTCCATCTATAATTAATCCTTTTGTATCGACTGTAATTTTTTCATCATAATTTATTTGCCTTTCTATCAAAGCTGATGGAATTTTGCAAGTATTTTCGCTGAATAAGTTTGCAATGAGTTGATTGTTATCGAGAATTATTGAATTATTGAAATCTGGTAAATTATGAAAAAAGTTTTTGATATAAAGAATCAATAGAATCTCACAAATGAGGAAACCATAATTGAGAATGATGAATCCGAATGCAAGATCAATTTCAGTTGACCATGCATATTTCATCTTGTAAAATTTGTTTAGCTTTCAAAAACAAACCTTAATATAAGGGTTTCGTTTTGCGAAAAAAACGTACAATACGCAATTTCACTAAAAAAACATTTAGCTAGCAATTTCGACCTTTGACTCCACTCAAGACGTCACTTTTTTAATTTTGCGGTATCATATTTTTGGAAAATCTTTATGAATATTATATAAAAAGTCCCTTTAATATCTATATTTCATATTTTTATCGATTTTTAAAGTTTTTGCGAAAAGTATTCAATTATTTTTGCTATTTGGTCGGGTAAATGTCAGATTTGCGACATTTTCTGATATGATATTCAGATTCTACGTTGATAATAATGCTTATAGAACCCTCTTGCTATTGTGTCAAAATTGCGAAACCGATAGCAAAAATATCTCGCAATATCAAAATTGAGATATTGAGTGAATTATGCATTATAGAGATTAAAAATCTGATTTGTGAAAACATCTCATCAGTTTCTAGCTAATTCAAAAATCTTTACTATCTTATTCGATTAAAATGAAAAGGGAATAGTTTCATTATGCTTTAAATGACAGCCTTATAATATAATCATAGTTTTCGCTCAATATGCAGCATTTTTTTTTCGAAATCTATGGTCAATATCCTAAATACTGATTGCTTTGCATTCATATCTCTTACATTTTCTATACCCACATCACTATTCATTGCTATTCCTATCTTTTTCATTTTTGTTTGTTTCTCATAATTTCTCAAAAAACATGATAACTTAATATTTGTAAATATCATACTTTATAACGTAAATAAGAACTTGACCTATTAAGAAAAGCAGTAATGAAAAGAAAATCTGAAATTCATAAAAATTACAAGTTTCTGATGACAATTAGCTTAATTAAACCAGGTACAAGATTATATAATTGTATTTTCTATCCAATTATCCATATAATATCTTATCCAGAAAAAATAACTTGATCAATACCAAATGATTTTTTAACTAGTAAATAAAGTATTTTCTTTACACACACATTGTATATCATAGTTTTTTTTGGTTTCGCAAAACATCCAAAAACAAATATGCTATAAAAGTGACAATTTTAGCAAAACGAAACTCTTACTTAATAGTTTTGGTTATTCATGACTAAACATAATTTCATGGAAAATAGATCGAGATCAAATTTCATCGTTTTTTGACAAAATTTACGTGTCAAAATTGTTAGACGGGGGTAGAAAATCCTCAAAAATATATATTATCTCTTAAAATGCGCATATACCATAAAGCTATGATAATAGCATATTTCGTTTTTGAAGAATAGAAATTCGAACTATCAATAACAATTGATTAGCTAAGCAATTCAGAAACAGAAACTAAAAATTAAAAAGAAATATGAAAATTTTTAAACAAAGGGTGAATGTCTGAACATTTCTTCTGCTTCATGTAAAACTAAAGTCCAACCATACCGAAAGTATGAAGAAGAAAACTTCTGACTATAGTCAGATTGTTGAATTGTTGATTGGTAACTATTTCCGTTTAAATTTAAATAGTTTACAAAACCCATTGTCAAATCACTTTTTTATTTTCATAAAAACAATTTCAACATCTTCATAAAATTAAAATGAACAGTGGAAACTATCATATAAAAATTTCTTACTCGATAAACCGTTTTTGAAAAATTCTTCTTAAAATCGCTTAAGAACATGCAAATATTTAATTCGTTAACAATGAAATTTTTAACGCTCACAATATTATTTTTACAACAGAAAAAGATGGAAGAGGGCTCAGTACAACCCGATGAAACAATGACTGAGCAATTTACAATTGAGGAAATGTATGAAGTTGGTCATGGCGACAAAATTTTCTGTTCTTTCGACTTTTCTGAAATGAAAGCGGAAGATTATGAAAGATTTTTCCATCCATTACCCAATTTAATATACAAGAAAGTTGAAGGCGTTAGATTTTCATGCGATCTTCTCATGAAAGAGGAAAGAAGCCTGAACAAGAATAGACATAACCAAGAAATTATTTCAAAATCAATGCATACGTTAAAACCGAATTATTTAAATTATTTGTTCAAAATCTTAGGAATTGTACTTCCCAAATCAAAGACATTGAAAATTCTTCAAATTTCAAATATGAAAATTCCAAGACAAGCAATTGACGAGCTATTCGATGCATTACACGTCTGTAATAACACTGTTGATGTCTTGAGAATCGACCATGTTCCTCTAGAACCAATTGCAATCAGAGATAATCTTCAAAAGATTTCACCTTATCAATTCAAATCCATTGAGATGAAGGATTGCGACTTAGATCCAAATCACGTTGAATCTTTCCGTCAATTCATCTTACAAGAACCTAAATCTCGCAAAGATACAAGGAGATTAGAACAGCTTATTCTTGATGGTAATAATATTCCAAAAGAGCAATGCCGAGAATTACAAAAGCTTGTTTCAACAGCCAAAGATGATTGGGACAACAATCAGCAATGGTATGGAAATGAAACACCAGAAGAACGCCTTGCCCGTCTCGAACGCGAGCGATTAGCCAAGAAGCGCGCAATGGAAGAAGAAAAGCGCAGAAAGGAAGAAGAAGAAAGAAAGATGCTTGAAGAAATTAAGCGTCAAAAGAAAGCAGAAGAAGAAAAGTGCAGACAAGAAGAAGAGAAGCGTAGAAAGGAAGAAGAAGCAAGACGTCAAAAAGAAGAAGAGGAAAAACGCAAGAAAGAGGAAGAAGAAAGAAAGAGAATTGAAGAAGAAAAAAGACAAGCCGAAGAAAGACAAAAACGTCGCGAAGAAAGAAAACGACGTGAAGAAGAAAAGCGCAGACAAGAAGAGGAAGAAAAACGTCGCCAAGAAGAAGAAAAACGCAAACAAGAAGAAGAAATAAAACGTAAACAAGAAGAAGAAAAACGAAAGAAAGAAGAAGAGGAAAAACAGAAGAAAGAAGCTGAAGAAAAGCGCAGACAAGAAGAGGAAGAAAAACGTCGCCAAGAAGAAGAAAAACGCAAACAAGAAGAAGAAATAAAACGCAAACAAGAAGAAGAAAAACGAAAGAAAGAAGAAGAGGAAAAACAGAAGAAAGAAGCTGAAGAAAAACGCAGAAAAGAAGAGGAAGAAAAGCGTCAAAAAGAAGCAGAGGAGAAACGCAAGAAAGAAGAAGAGCTTAAGAAGATGGAAGAAGAAAAGAAGAAGAAACAAGAAGAGCTCAAACGAATTGAACAAGAAAAGCAGAGATTGGCAGAAGAAGCAAAGAAAGCGGAAGAAGAAAGGAAACAAAAAGAATTAGAAGAAAAGAAGAGAAGAGATGAAGAGCTCAGAAAACAAAGAGAAGAAGAAAGAAGAAGACAACAAGAAGAAGATGAAAGAAGAAGAAAAGAAGAAGAACTCCTCGCAAAACAAAGAGCTCTTGAAGAAGAAGACGCAAAAAGAAGAAAACAACAAGAAGAAGAACAAAAAAGACTTGCTGAAGAAATAGAACGTCGTAGAAAAGAACTCAAAGAAGAAGACAAACAAAGAAAGAACGCAATCGAACAGCAAAGACTCGCAAATGAAGCAGAGTTGGAAGAAAAGAAGAAACAACTCGAAAAAGAAGACAAAGAAAGAAAAGAAAAAGCAAAGAGAGATGAAGAAGAAAGAAAAAGAATTGCTGATGAACTCGAGAAAAAGAGACAAGAACTTGAAAAAGAAGACCAAGAAAGACGTGAAGAAGCAAAGAAGAAGGCAGAAGAAGCTAAACTCGAAAGAAGAAAGACAATGGCTGATTTGGAAAGACAAAAACGTCAATTGGAACAAGAAGCAAAAGAAAGAAGAGAAAAAGAAGAGAAAGAGGAAGAAGAAAGAAGAAAGAAATTGGCAGATGAAGAAAAAGAACTTCGTGACAAACTTGAAAAAGAAAAAGCAGAAAGAATGAAACAATTGGCCGATGAAGAAGAAGAAAGAAGAAAGAAACTTTCAGACGAAGAAGCAGAAATCAGAAGAAAAATGGAAGAACAAAGTGCAGAAGCTCGAAAGAAACTCCAAGAAGAATTGGACCAAAAGAAGAAACAACATGAAGAAGATGAAAGACTTCGTAAACAAAAAGCTGATGAAGAAGAAACAGAAAGAAAGAAGAAACTCGAGGACGAACTCGAAAAACACAGAAAACGTCTGGATGAAGAAGAAAAACAAAGAAAAGAAAAAGCCAAAAAAGAAGACGAAGAAAGAATGCGAAAGATAGCTGAAGAAGAAGAGAAAAGAAGAAAAGAAGATGAAAAAAGAAAGAAAGAACTCGAAGAAGAAGAAAAAGAACGCAAGAGAAAACAAAAAGAAGCAATGGAAAAACTCGATGAAGCAGAAAGAGAACTTGAAAGACTTCGTGATCAGCATCAAAAGGAAGACCAAGAAAGAAAGAAGAAGTTACAAGAAGAAGAAATGAAAGCTGAACAAGCAAGAAAGAAACGTCAGGAAGAAGAAGACAAAATGATCGAAGATTCAAGGAAAAAACGTGAAGCTCTTGAAAAACTTGTTGAAGAAGCAAGAAAACTTCGAGAAGGCGAAGAAAGAATGGCGGAAGAAGCAAGAAAGAAACGTGAAGAAGAAGATAAAGCGATGGAAGAAAGAAAACAACAAAAACTTGAAGAACTCGAGCGAATTGCAGAAGAAGCACGAAAGAAACGTGAAGAAGAAGCTAGACAAGCAGAATTAGAAATGAAGAAACGCCGCGAAGAAGAAGAAAAAGAACATGAAAAGGAAAGACAAAAGAAGATTGATGAAGAAAATAAATTACTTGAACAAAGAAGAAAAATGCGTGAAGAAGAAGAAAAAGCAGCAGAAGAACTTAAACGAAAAATTGCACAAGACATGGCATTATCTGAACAAAAACGTAAAGAGTTGGAAGAACAACAAAAGAAATCCGATGAAGAACGTCGTAAAAAACGAGAAGAAGAAGACAGAAAAGCAGAAGAAGCACGTCGTAAACGCAAAGAACAAGAAGAAAAAGAAGCAGAAGAAAGACGTCAAAGATACGAAGAAGAACAAAGACAATTCGAAGAAGATAAGAAGCGAAGAGAAGAAGAAGAACAGAAACAACAAGAAGAAAGAAGAAAACACTTCGAAGAACTCGCTGCACAACTTGAAAAACGATCCAAACAAAAACTCGAAGATGAAAAGAACGCATTAGAAAATCTTAGAAAGAAATTCGCAGAAGAAGAAGCAGCTGAAGAAGAAAGACGTAAAAAGCGCGAACGAGAAGACAAAGAAGAAGACGAAGAACGAAGAAAGAGACGTGCAAAAGAAGATGCAGAATGGGAAGCAAGAAGACAACGAAGAATGCAAGAAGATGCTGAAGAAGAAGAGGCGAGAAGACGAAGAAGAGAACAAGAAGAAAAAGAAGATGCAGAACGAAGAAGAAGAAGAGAATTGGAAGAAAAGGAAGCAGAAGAAAAACGAAAGAAACGTGAACAAGAAAAGGCAGAAGACAAAGAAAGAAGGAGAAGGAAGAAAGAAAAGGAAGAGAAAGAAGATGCTGAAAGAAGAGCAAGAATCGCACAAGAAGAAAAAGAAGCTGAAGAAAGACGTAAGAAACTAGAACAAGAAGAGAAAGAAGCTGAAGAAAGAAGAAGACAAAGAGAACAAGAAGAACTTGAAGCAGAGATAAGACGTGAAAAAGGTGAGAAAGAAGCGGAAGAAAGACGTAAAAAGATGATCGAAGAAGCAGAAAATCTTCTTAAACAAGCTAAAGAAGAAGCAGAAAAGAAGAACAGAGAAGCAGAAGAAGCCAGAAAACGTAAAGAAGAAATGGATGCAGAGTTAGAACGAAAGAAGAAAGAAGCAGAAGAAGCAGAGAAAGAAACACAAAGAAAGAGAAAAGAGGCAGAAGAAGAAGCGAAGAAGCTCAAAGAAGAAGCCGAGAAACTTGCAGAATTAAAACAAAAACAAGCAGAAGAAGAGGCTGAAAAGAAACGAAGAGAAGCTGAAATCGAAGCCGAAAAGAAGAGAAAAGAAGCCGAAGAAGAAGCAGAACGAAAGAAGAAAGAGGCGGAAGAAGAAGCCGAAAAGAAGCGAAAAGAAGCAGAAGAAGAGGCAAGAAAGAAGATGGAAGAAGCCGAGGAAGAAGCTCGTAGAAAGAAAGAAGCCGCAAAGGAAGAAAGACGTCGTAAGAAAGCAGAGGCAGAAGCCGAAGCAGAAAGAAAGCGAAAAGAAGTCGAAGAAGCAGAAAAAGAAGCCCAAAGAAAGAAGGAAGAAGCAGACAAACTTCAAGCAGAACTAGAAAAACTGCGCGCGCAAAAGGAAGCAGAAGCTGAAGCAGAACGTCAACGCGAAAGACTTCGAAAGAAACAGGAAGAAGAAGAACGAATGCGTGAAGAAGAAAGGAGATTAGCCGAAGAAGCAGAAAAGAGAAGACAAGAAGAGGAAGAACGTAGAAGACGAGAAATAGAAATATTGACATTGGAAGAAGCAGAACCAACAAAAGTCGATGACCAAGAATATGACGAAGATGTTCAGATCATCGAATACGTCTCAGACTACAAATACGTTTACGACGAAGATGAAAACGAGCAAGAACAAGTTGAAGAAGAAAAACCAAAGAAACAAGAAGAAAAAACAACAAAATCAGAAGAAAAACCTAAAAAACATGATGATAAACAACAAAAAGCTCAGAAACAGACTGAAAATAAAGAAGAAAAACAGCCTGTAAAAGTTAGATCTTTGTTTGATGAGGCTAAAGAAGAAGTAGCAAAAGTTGGGAAGTCAACAAAAGCAGCAAAGAATGATAAATCTCTTCCTAAACCTCAGATTTCATCTGATTCCGACTCTGACTCATCCGAGTATACTTACGAATATGAATACGAATCTGTGTAATTAACTAATAAAAAATTATATTGTATTATGCTTAAATCGATGCGGAGATATTATGAGCCACCTCAATAATTGAATTGCATCAATATAAATGAGGCTAAAAATTGAAAATTCTTCAAGTATTTCCATCATATGTCGGAAATTGAGTTTCATTCAATTTCCGACATATGATGGGAACTGATTATAAAATATAGAATCCTCATTGATGTGGAAATATTAAATTATGAAGAGTTAGAAATGTTTACTAAAGTTTGTAAAAAAAGAAAAAGTTCATTAACTTCAGAAATACTTTTATTGATAATTGCAAATTCTGCTTGGCAATTACCAGTTGAAAGATGAATCAAATTGTTAGTAAATAGTTCTCTTGGATTAGTAGGTTCTACAGTATCTATCCAAAATGTTAATAAAATCGAATTATCAATGTAACAATTATCAACTGTTGTTTGTTGATTTCGATCATAATTATCACTGTTATATATCAAATATGAACCTTGAGGAGCAGTGTTGTTAATAAAAGAACAACTTTTTACAGTAAGAGAATCAAATTCATGGGAAATAGTCCCATCTGTTTGGGTACTAGTATTATTTATAATATTACATGAATCAATCAACGCGTAATACCAAAAACTTAGAATTATACTATTTGTTGCTAAATTATTAACAACAGTTGTATAGTTATATTTTGTTGTGTATTTACGTAGAGAATTTTGAAAAAAACCAGCAGGTCCAGCTAAACCTTTACATGATGAGAAATTTGTTGATGAAACTACGATATTATCACGTTCTGCATTTATAGAGTAACCAAAACTTTCATTTCCTACATCAAAAAGGGAACTTTCAATAAAAAAGTTTATGTTATTTCTGTCAACTTTTGTATTTGAAAAATGTGCTCCATATTGACTTTGGCATTTTGTACAACAGAATTTTCGTTGAACAATCGAACTATTACTGCCGATTTTGTAGTTAATGCAACTTCCAGTTTCTGTTGAAGTGCAGTTACTAAAAGAACACCGATTATGTAGGAACAATGAGTTTTTAACTGGATCAAAGTTAATAACTCGGTCTTTATCATCAAAAAAATTACACTCTTCTAAGTAATATTGACCTTTATCTTCTGGTAGATTACAATTTTGACTGTTTTTAGTTTCTACTCCTGTAAATTGATTATTGAAGTAACTATACCAAACATTGTCATCCGCTGAGGATGACTTTCTTCCGAATGCACACTGACAAAAATAACCGTAAATTTTCATTGAATAATAAAATATATAAATTGAGAATATTGCCGATACTGCAAGCTTTTGACGAACACAAAAATTTGTCTATTCGCTCATTGATAGAACAGTCTATTGTTTAAAATTCATCAATATGAATATGTACCATATATTAAACATAGTTTAGGATCTGAAACTATGTGTGATAATTTGAAGATGTTGTGTTTAGAGTTTATCTTATTTTAGTACGTGTCTCGATATGAATTTTCATAGCACAAACATGAATAATAAATATTGTCATATAATATATCAAAACAAATGAATATTTATATAATAATAAAGACGAAAAAATAAGATAAATTGGGAATCATACATTCATATATATATGAGCTGCATAATAAATTGTATGTAATTGCTTTAGGAAATATGCAAACGATGTTATCATCAATAGTAAAAGTATCTGTGGCAAAATATGAAGCAGGATATGAGCTGGTTACCTTGATTTCAATATTTGATGGAGTTATATGACTATAAACTTCAATTCTATCGAAAACATCTTCAGTAATTGGGGTATTTCCACAATATTGAATGGACTTTAATGCGTTAAGACCTTTAAATGCAGAAGTCCCAATGTAAGTTACTGATGGAGGTATTGTAATAGTTTCTAATGAATATGCAAATGCAAATGCTGCATTTCCAATTTTCGTGAGGTTATTTCCTGTAAATGTTACAGATGTTAATGCATAGAAATCATAAAATACGCTCCCTTCTAAAATTTGCAATCTGCTATTTTGGTCGAATGTCAAGGACGTTACATTCCTGCATTGGGAAAATCCTTGGTCTCTAATGATTTCAATGGCAAATCCTATTTTGATCGTTCGTAAATTCCAGCAATTTCGAAAAGCTTTGGTTCCAACTTCTGTAACACTAAAAATAGTATCGGAGTACGTAACGAAATTTGGGATATGTAAATCTGGTCCATAATCTGAAGTTACTGCATTTAGATTTTCACCTGAATCTTCTCCTGTTCCAACTCGAGCTTTTCTTGCATTAACATCAATAATCGAATATGTAATGCCTCGGTAAATGAAAGTATCATTTGCATGCAATTTAATATCGCAATACTAACAGATAAAAAAATTGAAAAGAATTTCCGATCATTTTTATTCAAAATTTCAAATAAAAATGGTTATTTCCATAGTTTACCTTAGTTTTCTTGAAAAGCACATGCAACGAACCAATAGAATTGCTTAAAGAATGTAATAGTGCATATGATGATTGTTGATAGATACATTGCTGATGAAATCGAAAAGATTTGTAAATAATTAATCTTGTTGGGCAAAATTTCTTCATTCACACTATGCTTTAATGAATGAAAAACGGTGCAATAATATAACTGCACTTCGTTATGCATTATGTAGTGAGATGCTGCTATATTTTTTTTTTTTTTTTAGTATCACATAGTTCGATGGAATGATCACGCATTCAACGAGAACGTCATATATTTTCGCTTTGGAAAAAGCATTCCTCTTCCATTTTCAAGAAAGCAATTGAACTTTTTATATGAAATGAATCCGGCACTTTTTTGTCAAAAATATATAATGACTGAAGAAAAGGTTACATTTCTATTAAATAGTGCATCAGACTTACCACAGATTTCGAAAAACAAAGTTACACTTTCTCGCCAAAAATCCATGCTGTTTTTAGTTAAATACGTTAAGCAAAAATTAAATATCCAAGGAAATCAATCAATTCACTTGTTCTTCAACAATTTCGCAATTTACCCTGATTGGACAGCCGGAGATGTTGCTGACCACTCTCCTGGCCAGACAACTTTAGATATTTACTATTCATCAGGGCAAGTGTTCGGTTGAAAGTCAAACATTGCCAATACTTTTCATATTTTCTGTTTTTAATACCTAATTAAACGTATTAATTTTAAAATTATACAAAATTTTAAATTTAATTTTATTTTGACTTCATTGTTTTGAAAATTCACATATGATTTTACTTTATTATAATCATAGAATTTATCATAAAGTGATCACCAGCAAAATCAAGTATTTTAAAATATTTATTTTATTAGAGCTCCCCAACTCCATAGATTAATGATTTCTGAATATACATGTTCAATGCATTATGAAATTTATAATTAACTAAATGATATTAACAAGATAATTTACATTTGCTATATTATATGCATATGCTATTGAACTTCGATATAGTTCATGATATTTCTTGTATTTTATCATATGATGCTGTGATTCAACATGAGTTAGCAAATGATTTTCAACCACATTGAAATTGAAGTGCGAAATGCAATGAATTGATTATCATAATGTCATATTTTCCTCCTTTACGATGCATTGAAATAGCAAATAACCAATAATAGCTAATAATCACATGCAAAATTCTTTTGGGCAAATCAGGAATTACGAAGCCCTCACTCTTCCTTTCAAAAAACGATGATAAATAACATATTTCTTTCTTCAAATGAAAATATAGCTTTATCGACCAAAGCGGTTTTGCAGTTACAAATTCAAAGGAATCATGTGAGAGAAAAAAAAAATTTTAAAATGGAATCAGAGATGTATTCACAATATGAGGATAATAACAAAAAGAAAACATCTCTTGGTGTTAAAGTTCTTGTAGCTCTTAATGCATTAGTTTTAGCATTAATTGTTGTTACATATGTTGTCGGAATTCGTGTTCAAAAGAGAATTGCCGACACAACAATTAGAAATAATACATTTGATAATCTTTTCAAAGAATTCGAAGCCGAATTACCCGATATTGCTTTACCATCTGCTTATGCTCCTCCTTATATCAATCCAGCTACCGATCAGGCTCATCGTGGAACATGCTGGTGCTGGTCAACATTGTATAATCTTGAAACCCAATATCGTGAGCAAGGAATTAAGAAAGGATTCCTTGACGAAAAAACATTTGTCAAATTCTCAATCCAAGCATTTGTCTCAGTTGTAGGAAATTACTGCAGAGCACACCCAACAGAAAAGGCATGCGGCTACGGTGGCTTCAAACGAAATTCTACAAACGATAACCAAGTTGAAGCTTTCCCATATTTCCTTAAGATGATCCAAGGTCTTGACTCCTCTGTTGTTGCTGATCAAGTCTGCCCATATGTACCCGATCCGAGCCCAGTAACAGATTTCCAGTGCGATAATTTCTATAAACAAAACGAATCTAATCCAATCCGCTTCAATTTCAAAGGCATGACAACAGTTTACGATACAAGAGCTATCAAGCAGCTTCTTTTCCTCAAGAAGCATCCTCTTGGCATTGGAACTCCACTTGGAACAATTAATTTCTACGCAAAGTGCTCAGAAGCACCATATTCCAACCACCCACACTGCCAGAAGAAAGTCTTCCGCTGCCCAGACTCACAAACAGAGGAATACTGCGCTCTCCTTGAGTTCCAAGGCAGAACCAAAGATGGCACATTCGTTGGCATCGACAAAGCCGACCGCCAGACAGAATTCGGTGGCCATGCCATGAACGTTGTTGGCTACAACGACAACTGGCGTTACAATTCCAGAATCTCATCAGATAAATCTGTCCAACCATCAAAGGGCTGTTTGATCCTCCACAACTCATGGCGTGCTGATGGCCATTCCGTACAGTACCTTCTTGGCAACAGAACTCTTGAAAACGAACAAGTTCTTTGTCCAAATGTCCGTGCCCCAGAAAACTGGATCCCAGCAACTCTCGATTGCGTCAAGAAGAACAAGGATGATCCATCGAAGTGCTCCAAGGATATCTTAAGAGTCAGAGGAAACGGAACAACTCACGGAGCTGATATCATCAAATGCACTTCAACTGACACTTTTTACTGTGATCAGAACCTTAAATATATCCTTAAGCGCAAGTCCGATGACGATGATGGTTCATTAGATGTTTACGAGCTCGACAACGGTCTCCATGATATCGGATTCATCGCATGGAGTGATACACAAGAGCCAATGGAAGTAAGGATAAAGGCAATGCCATTCTGGGGTATTGATAGATACATGACACCTGAAAACGTAGAAGTTGAGAACAACGCAGACGAATGCGGCTTCTACGCACTCCCATACCAGGTTATAGAGAACATGAGACGAAGATCGTTCGACTTGTTCGATAATTTCAAGTCTTCCGATTACGAAGTCGAATTCTTGGACTCTTCTTACATAAACGCGAAGGTCAAGGAATCATATAACTACGATTGGCTTAAGAGCTCAACACAACAACAGAACCTCCATCAGTTCAATGAGCCAATTCCATTCTACGTATATCATTAGTTTTTTTTTCTACATTTAATAAAATTTAATAAGTATTTAACGCTATATAATATAATGAAACCCAAATTTTAGGGAATGAAAAGTATTTAAACAGAAATAAAAAATATTCAAAAAATTATTTTCTTATTTTGTTTGTTTTCTAAGACTAAATAATTTTAAATTTACGGGATATCAAACATTTATGTGTATTGATGAGTATTAAAAAACAAATTGTATTATTGATGAGAATATATTTAATAAATTGCAATATAGAGTAAATCAGAATAGATTAAATTAGAAATCTTTTACTTCCTTGATATGTGTTAATCTGAAATCAAAAACGGGATGGAAATTTTGTAAAATTAATAAGAAATTTAGGAAATTGAATGAATACATAATAATATTTTCTTGCAATAGCATAAATCATATATGAAGTTTCGTGAAATTTATTTGAAATAAAAGATTTGATTTAAACTATCGTTGGAAATAAATAAAACTAGCTAGTATATAAGTGAATTTCTGAATAATTAAGAGTTTCAAGTTAAACCTTCTCCAGGAATTGTTTATTTTGATGAAATTTTGAGCTTGAACACTTATATTTGTCACTTTTTTGAAAAAAAATAACGAGTATTTTTTAGAAAAAAAAATGGATGAGGGAAAGCAGAGATTGCTTCAGTGGTTAAGTGAAGCTTCAGGTGAAAGAGTTGTAAACTGGGAAAGAGTTAGTCAAGGCGATGTTATTTGCTATATTCTTTATCGTATGTCTCCGAAAAATATAAATCTTAAGAAAGTAACAGATGGTGTCGATCGATTTGCACGTGTTTGCAACTGGCGTATATCAGCACAAGCAATGCGCACGCTTAAAATAGGTTGGGCTTATGATGAAGTCAAATTAGTTATGGCTGATCAGCCTGAGCTTGCAAGATTAGTCCTTTCATTACGTAGATGGGAAACAAAGAACTTAGAAGAGCCATTAGAACCACCAGCTCCTGAAGAATGGGCAGATCCAGATTTACCTGCATGGTTTACTCAACAGACTGCAAAAGAAATCGAAGAAAAGAAGCTTGCTGCTGGAGAAGCTCGTAAGAAACCTGTTGTTAAGAAGGAAAAACCAGTAGAGAAAAAGCCCCCAAGACAATCTCTTCATGACTACATTTATGCAAAGAAATAAGCGCGAATTAGCATACGCCTATGTTATTACACTACAAAAATTTATGAAAAATAGATAATTTCAAATAATTCTATATCAGGCCATGTAACTATCTAAATAAACTATGTTTTCTTTTCTTTTGATAAATGAATAATACATTCTTTAATTTACTAAACAAATTAAAAATAAATTAATATCAAGCTCTTGAAGATTCTACAGCTTTCCATGGAAGATCCTTTTCTCCATCATCAGCTGTATTTTCATTATCTTTTATGATAAGTTTCTTCTCATTTGCTTGCATTTTCAAATCTGCGAGTTTTGCTCGTTTTCTTTCAAGAATATCTAGGTAAATCTCTGTAAGAACGGAATAAGTAGTAGGAGAAAGCTTAATTTGTATCCTAAGCTTGTTATCCGGGAAAATATATCCGTTATTTTTAACAACATTAAGAGAAGCGAGTCTATTCCAGCCCCACGAATCCAAGTTTTGGAATTCTGAAACGAAATGACGCTCTAAAACTGTATCTTGCGTTGGATGAATAATTTTCACTTGATAATTAAACTGAAATGGACGATCAAAGCCCTTTAACACCTCTAAGAACATAGATATGTGTGTTCCTGCACCATTTCCGTTTCCATTTGGATATAATTTACCTCTCCATCTTGCTCCAAATGCTTTGAACTCAGGAGTGTAAATATAACCTCGTTCTAAGTGATTCTGGTCGAGCATTGATGTAAAATCTGAGAAATCAAATTCCGTTTCTGAACTTTGAGGACAGACATAGTTTGTATCAGGATAAGATTGTCTTTCAAACAAATAAGGAGGTGGAGATTTAGCAAATGAATCAATTTTAGCAACTAATTCCTTTGAACTTAAAAATACTCCAACATCGTTAGCTGTAACTATAGCAGATGCCATATCTACAATTTTTTCAGTATCATCTATCATAGAATCTATAGCAGATGCTTTTTCTAGTAATTTTTTCTCGTTTTTTGCTGAAATTGATTCAATATTACGCTGGAAATCGCGATATGTATTGTACATTTCAATCTCAATTTCACTTTTCTGGCTTGCAAGTGCTGCTTTCATATCTGGTGTTGACTGCAATTGATTTTCTATGTTGTCTCTAAGAGCTTTTGCCTGTTTAATTTCCTTTTTTAGTTGATCTTTTGCTTCTTGCTTTTTATCTACAACTTTTTCGATTCTATGTCCATTATGTACTTTGTTTTGTGATGTATATTCTTCGAAAAGGCAGTCAGGGCATAATGGTTTTTGACAATTTTTGCAAAAAAATTGGTATTTTTTATTATGTTTTGGGCAAATCATTTCATTATCTTCTTCCTCTTCACTTTTAGTAAGCAATGGAACGGATCCGCGTATGTTTTTATTGTTAGAAAACTGATCTATGTAATCTTTTATCATTTTGCTCGAATTTTTAAACCGCTACATAATTTTTCCTACACGCCTGTGATAAATTATCGTCGGCTTATTGGTGTGAAGCGCTGATATTTTTAAAATTTTGATATGAAAACAAGAAATTCACCAAGTAAGCAAAAACAGCAGAAAAAGATCCCAGCAACACGTGAATCAGTGGATAAATATATCAATGAAGCATTTGCTAATTCATTTTTCTCGATTTACAATCCAAAAATGGCTCAATATTCATTGCCAAACTTCGAAGATGAAGTTCCCGATAAAGATAATTATAATAGCTTTGAAAGTCCACTAGCATCTTATTTATTAAAGAATGATATTGCAGATTACCCTAACTTGCGAGCAAATATTTTTGATTCATTTGATCAATCATATGCTCGCATGTGTGATGAAGTACTAGATCCGGCCAATAAAGTTGATATTTCATTTATTCCCAAAGCTTAGAAGAAAATATTGATTTTTATATTCAAATTATTGGGAAGCAAAATTGACGATATACATAGTCATATTCGATTCAATGCGAATTGTTTCATTCGAATTTATTGTTTATTTAAAGTTTATTTGTTTTTTTGATTCCGAATTTCTTTTGGTATTGCTCCAATAGGAAATAGTCTTCCTTTGTGTTGGCTCGATGTATAGAGTTAGTCCGAAAATAGTTCTAAAATTCAAAATTTATATCTTAAACATCTTCAGCTAAATCTCAACAATATACTTATAGGCAAATGCTAAATCTTCATACAAATCTAAAGATACCCAAATCATTTTTTTATTTATTTTTGTGTCATGGGTTTTGAGCGGCTTTTCCTACGACAAACCTCAAGAAAAATATCAAAAGCCTCAATAGTTCACGCACTTCTTTACTTATTCCTCCTTTTCGCCATGCTTATCGAGTATCAATTTGATCATATAAAATTTACATTTACATTTCCCGAGTTTGCGAACATAATAGGGTATGGAACTGGTACAGTTAATTCAGACATTAATACTGATTCTCAAAGCATTCCTATATATAAAGAAGTTGATCCTATTTTACCAAAAAAATATCCGAAATTTACAAAAGCCAGATTTGTTGCTGGCAAATATCCTGCCGGGTGGATGCCTGGTGATTGGGATTATGATGCCACAAAAATATTAATAATCAAAAATATAACTTTTACAACAGAAGTAGCTTTTCTCATACATAACGGATATCATCTTTTTAGTAGGTCATGTCATCCACGATATTGGGGTATTGGTCAGCCTTATCATTGGTCTCCTTATAATTATACGTGTTTTAAAACTGCAGTATGCGTTGGCCATCAGCATACTCATGAATGGGGTCATTGGTCCCTTGAAATTATGCCATCAATTGCATGCATGCCTCAAGAAATTTTGAAAGATGCAGTATTTATTGTTCCAGAAATCAAACCTTTCATAATTGATAATCTCAGAGAATTAGATATAGAACCCTGGAGAATATGGGGTGAATATAATGGCAGAGTTCATGCAGAAACCTTAATAACAATCAGAAATATCTGGTGCGGTGATCTAAACAGACGTCTTATCCTTAATCTACGAAATTACTTCAAGAAGAAATTTTCGTTAGACAATATTGTACCTTTCAGATATATAATTGCAAATAGAAGGCCAGATCAGAAGCGATACGTAGCAGATATACATGAATTAGTTGATGCATGCAATAAAGAATTCCCAATGTTCCATTTTGAGGCATTTACTCCTGATGATTCCAAACCATTTTTCGAGCAAGCTTTGTTTTTCAATAGTTTCAAGTTTATATGGGGAGTTCATGGATCTCTCATGGCTAATATCCTTTACATGCAGCCAAAGACTGTTGTCGTTGAAATACAATGCGAAAACAACTGGCTGAACTCATTTTTGAATGTAGGACAAATTGCTGGTTTATGCCACTTTGCTGGTAGAGATAACATCAACTTTTACGAAAAAAAGAATAATACAATCGATCTTTCCTATAATTTGTATGTAATTGCTACAGCATTTGTCGAATCAAATTATATATTCAAAAATCAGACAAGGCTTCTTCAACAATAATTCATTATTTTTATTTTATTACTTGTTTTTTGTTTGTTCAAATAAATTTTGTTTTCTTATTAACTATTAAATTTATTCCGCCCTCTGGTAATATACATTTCTATAACTTTAAAATGATATGCTGTCAAATACATTATCACAAGAGAATTGAGCATGAAAATTAGAGTTTCTAAATTGAAAGATCTTTTAGGAAGATCCAAAATCACGAAATCAAACAATCTTCCAAATTCGAAGTTTTGATTTATAACAAAATTTTAGCAACCCTACAGAAATCATTTAAAAAGATAAGCTATTAGAAAAACTAGTATTTATTACAGTGTTAGAATTAAATTTACATTAATAATAACATAATATTAAACAAAACATGGGAAATTTATTGTCTATCTGGATTATTATCGTCTCCTTCATATAGCAACTGCTGAACAGCTGCAATAAAGAAGTCTTTCGATTGATCAACAATTTTATCAAGAGAAATCTTGCTCCACTTCTCCAAAAACTTCGTAATGGATACAGTATTTGCAGGAGGTGCTTTAGCAGTAAGAGAAAGGATAAGAGTGAGAGTATCATCAAATGATAAGACGCCAGTTTCGCTTCCGAAGAAATTAGCTAACGTAAGAGTCATCGAGTGTATGTGCTTTGCTAAATCAATCGGATTTGTAATAAATTCCAGCTGTTTTAACATTTCAAATTGTTTCTGAGTAAAAAGAGATCCTAACTTCAATCCTGGAGTATAATATCTCTGTATATCCTTAGATAGTCTCATTTCTCTAATAGATCGTTGAGAAAACTCTTCTGCTTTTTTCAGGAAAATTTCGTCTTCTTTTCTGTATTTATTGAGCTCAGATTCTATAACGTATGATTGATCAAATAGTAGTCTAACTATTGAAGTGTATACTATCGTATATGATGTTTCGTTTGTGATATTCATTGTTTTACAAAATTCCTGAACAATAGAGGTAATTGTCATTACAGCTGAATTAGTATCTCCAGATGCTATCATTTTAGCGGCTGGATAAATTGTCTGATTCATGTTGGATTCGTAAAAATATTCAGCAATGATTTCATCGATTTCGGATGGAGGAGAATAGTTGTAATCGTGATCGAATTGGCCAGATGCTGCTAGAAGACCGGACTTAATCTGATTTTTGCGGTTAACATTTAAATTTAATAATTTAAATGAATAATTTTTATATTTGTATTTGATAGAAATCCTTCTCGCTCTCACTTCGGCATATATTGGATTAGATCTTGACTTCGCCTCAATATAGCTCTGAAATTTTGGAACGTTGATATGAAGACAGGGATCAGTAACGATATAATCTACCATGGATTTAACGATTCTTATAACATACTTGCATGCTTCTGACTGTAGTTCTAGAAATTTCCCACATTCTTTTCTATAAAAATATTCGAGAAGAATTGAATGACGAATTAACTTAGATGGATATAGTGGTTGCTCTGAAAGTTTGAGTTTTGCTTTCTTTTTGTCGTATGTTTCAATTGCATGCTTAAATTTTTGAACGTAATTATCAAGCCTAACAACATTTGCAACTTGAGAATCAACGTCTATCTCCCCTCTTGTTAGGCACTTAGCAAAGTCGGATAAGCAAGAAGGAAGATCATCAGGAAAGGTCAGTTGATTATCTGTCGTTTTTTTTTATTCGAAATTTTTTGAATTTTCAAAAAAAAATATTGATGAAATCAACAGGATAACCATTATGACCTTTACCCTACTTATATCTATTAGTTTAGCTTACGTCAATTGTTTTATCAGATTGATATAAGTGAAGTAAAGCGATATCGGAAAAATTGATATTTTAGGGTGCATTTACCACTTCCTTGAATGAACATATCTTTATTTTAATAACAAAAAAGTATAACAGTCATCTGAAGTATTAGATGGTGATTTATAATGACTTTTTCTCGATCAAAAAAAAGGGCTTTTTATCATAGAAAATTGGGATATGATACTTATTTGTCAAAAAATTGAGAATGTCAGAAAGTGGTAAGTTCACCCTAAATGAATTTTGAGTATTTGGACTATAAGATACAATATTAGAATATACAATATTCTAAACATATAGTCAAAACATTCAAGATTTGTTATATAGTACAGACTGATAGATTAAAGATGCGAATTCGTTCTTATTAATTATTTGGAAATATATAGTCAGGAGAAAAAGGTGTAAACCGGGCAAAAAGGTGTAAACCTTAATTCTTTAGGGCTAAAAGTAGGAAAGATATTGTCTCCATATGTGTGCAATCTGGGAGGTATGATTAGTTCAATATTTTAAAATAGTTAAAATAATGAGATATTAGCTATAATATGATAACATATATAAATAACAATAAAAATAGTATCCTTATATTATAAATATTATAACTCTTTACAGAAAAAGGATTTTTAAAATATCAAATAATCTTGAATATTTAATAAAAATGAGGCTTAATGGTTTCAATGTCAGTCCATTACATTGTACTACAATAACATACAATATATTCTTGATCATTTTTAAATGAATTAACTATCAAGCAGCATGAACATAAAAAACGGATCAAAAAAGGTGTAAACCATATTGTGAAAGCTTATTTTTTAGAATGATCATTCCAATAGATTTTACATTAGAAAATAAAATTATTCGCTGCGTGTCATTAGTTAAATTGATTTTGTCCCACAATAATATCAATTTCAATTAAAAAATTGAGCATCAGACTTTAAATGAAGAATAATATAAGTCTACATGGTTGATAATGATATTCCTTACAATATGAATGCTAGAATTGCTATTTGAAATTGCAAATTTTTGAATTCCATTAAATTTTGAAAATACGATTTTTTACCTAAAGATCTGATCGAAGGAAAAATTTACGAGAGAAGGCTTTTGTTCACTACAGATCCAATTGTTTACCCAGGATTTGTAGAATTGGACAATACAAATGGCAGAGCAGTACTTTATTTCGGTCCAGGAAAGAATTATCGAATTTTCTCCTTGTATGACTATTCAGAGATGTTCTCAGTATCCTCTAATGACGTTATGGATATCAAGATGACTCCAAATTCCTTCATGTCCATCAAACTCCTTTCAATTTTCAAATTTGATCTCATATTCTCTGACGTTACCACCGGAATATGCCAAGGTGACTTATGTTTACCATTAATTCCCCAAGCAGACCTTCAATTCATCGAACGCAGTGGAGAAAACATCCTTTTCAAACAAAATGGAAATCCAATCAACTGCTACAACATTGCAACAAGAGAAACAAGGATCATCCCTGATACAGAAGATGCATCAACACCAGAGTTTCTCTTCCTCTATAACAGAAAGCTCTTTTTCGTATTTAAATCAGGAGTTTTCCTTGGATACACCTTCAATGGAGATAAAGCCTTAACAGTTTCATCCGAAAGAAGACTTTCCCTCGCTCCTCTTTGCGTTGATTCAAATCAAGAGTATCTTGTTTGCACATCCAAAGGAAATGGAATCTGCAAAGTTCATCTTTTTGATCTTTCGACAGGAAAAGAGGAGTTCAGCAGCACTGTTGATGATGGATTGTTGAAGGGTTTCAGATTAACTTCAATCGCCTATGACAAAGACTCACACTGCATTGTCTGTGGTGATGAGGTTGGAGAAGTCCACTTCTGGCTCTGATTCTATCATTATTTTTTTATTTTTTTCGATTAAATATTTTTATCATTTTTTATCTAAATGTTTGAAGTGTTTGAACATCTTCGTTTGGATCAATACAATGTAATTCTAAAATGAAATTGTTAGGCATCAGTTGAAATTTTGATTATGAAATATAAGTCAAAGTTCTAGAAAAATAGAGTAAGTATCAAATTGTTACATGATTTTAAATGTCTGTTGTGATTAGATCACATTAGAACAAAAAGATTGGATCCGCCCAAGGATATCTCATATGAAAATGATACTATTTGACAGAAAAAATATTAAAACTATGTAGAATCCAATTAGAATTTGCAATCAGAAATATAGATGAGAAGTTTGAAAATGCGCACGTTAGTATTTTTATTTTTTATCTTCAATGGAAATTTCAAAAACAACGCGTTTCAACACATGTAAAAAGATTGCACAGCTACAGCGTGTTATTACTGTTTTTAAAACACAAATTGAAGATAGAAGATTCCAAAAATCCGCTCTAGGTAAGATATTTGACGAAAAATTTGCAAAATTGTCTGAAGATTATGAAAAAAAGATAGAACGCGATATCAAACCAAAGTGTGATAAGCAAGATGAAATAGATTCGAAGTACAAATCTAAATATGAGCAAAATATCGAAAAATTTAAAACTCAGATCTCAGAAAAAACAGCAAACATTCAAAACGGTGCAGAAAAGATATTATCAGAACTTGATAATCTAATGACTCAAATCAATGCGATTTCTCAACCTTTAATTTCAAAAACAAAAGAATTAGTCGATAATTACACGAAAAATGCAGATCAAGTACAAAAAGAACTATCTACTAAGTGTAAAGACATGAAATCTGTGTGTAATAAAGATATTGAAGAATTCATTAAAAATGCAGATGAAAAAGAAAACCAATTTGTTATAGAATCACGTAAAAAGTTTGATGAAATGCGTCAGAAACACCAAAGTGATATTGATACAATCAAAAATTCAAAGCCGATGCCAAAACTTTCAAAGAAAGAAATTGATAATTTAACAAAGCATAAAAATACACTCAAACAGATGTCAGAAGTATATAAAACAGTGCATGAAGACTATAATTACGTTGTCAATGCTCATAGAATGTGGATTTATCAGTCAAGAGAGAAATTCAAAGATATCATGAAAATTGCTAAAAATTCTTCATCAAATATTGATCCCAAGACATTGCAAAAGGCTCGCGATGACTTGCAAGCTGTTTTGGCAAAACTATCTCAAGAATTATCAGATAAACAAAAGAAATTAGAACTTACACAAGCAGAATTGAAATTTTCATATCAGAAATTAAAGAGTGAAATCACAGAACTATTAGAAAAGGAAAATTCAGACTTTTTAGAGAAGAAAAATAAGATTTTAGAAGAATCTGGAGAACTGTCTAAAGAACTTGCTCAATTAAGAGAACAAAACAAGCAAGAACTGAATGCTCTTAAAGAAAAATATGTAGAAGAAGAAAACCAACTAACTCAAAAAGAAAATTACGCAAAATCTCAAATTGAAGTTGTTTCTAAACCATTCAAATCAGAAAAACAAAAGGCTAAGAAAGAATTAACAGCACTTAGAAGCGCAAATAAAGCTGAACGGACAAAGAAAGAGAGTGAATTAAATTCAATTGTTGAAAATCAGGCATCAGCATATAAAACAGAAGAAAATTCATTTAGAGATCAATTAAATGCTCTGAAGAGAGGAGGAAATCAACAAGAAAACGAAAATCGAAAACAATTGAATCAAATTCTTCAAGAAAAAGAAAAGGCAATGATAGAAAAGACCAAGAAGATCAATGAATTTGATGCCCAAGCATCAGATGCCATCGAAAAACAATAACTTCAAAACAAATTAAACGAAGAATCTCTTTCCAGGGACTATGATGATGCCTACAACAATGTAAAGTCGAAATCTGATAAGAAAGTTGATGATTTAATGCAGAAAATCCAAGAAGAAGAAAAGAATCTCCAAGATTTGATGACAAATAAATATATTGTTGCGATAAACCAGATAAAACAACGATTTCAGAATGATTTTCCACCTGTCCAAGATGATCCTGAGATTGTTGCATTAAAAGAACAATTTACAACTGAACAAAATAATCTTCATTCAATTAAAACTCCAGGAACAGGCAATGGAGAATTTGCATTGTTAAATGCAACTGTAGAAACATTGCAAAACGAGTTGAATGGTCAGAAACTCTCAATAGATAAAGAAAGAGAAACAATTTTGAATTCCTGGAAAAAGCAAATTGAAGATGAAGAAAGAAGACATCAAAATATTGGAGAAGGACCTTCAACAAGAGGCAGAGATCAGTTGAAACATACTTTGCAGAGTCAAATAGATGGTGTCATTGAATCAAGAGAGAATGATGAAAAGAAACTTCGTGATATCCTTAATTTGTTAAATTCAGAATCAGAAAGAGTATCAAAATTATATCAAACAGAATTAGAAAATCCTTTGCATCAAACTCAAGTAGATTCTCTTAAGAATGAATTAGAAAATGTTGATGAAATACTTGAGAATATGATAAAGACTGCGAATAACAATAAAACACAAGAAATTCAAGAAATGAAAGATTCGATTTCGAAATTAAATGTTGATATTTCAACAAAAATTGAGAAATTGAACCAAGAAATTAAATCAGAAAATGAGAATTCAGTAAATCTTCTTGAAAAAGCAAAGAATGATCTAGAAGATATAATAGAAAAGTCAAAACATGATGATAAAACAACTTCTCTTGAATTATCCCAGAATTTGGAGAAAATTCACATTAAAAATGACAATGAAATTGATTCGACAAGGATCAAGATTAAGCAGCTTAAATCGAAGATTGCTAATGATAAGAATACCAATGAAATCATTATCTCAAGTACTAAGTCACAGAATGAGAAAGACTTAGAGAAAGCAGAAAAGAACTTCCAAAAAGAAGTCCATAAATTACAATGTAATTTAACTGGTTTGAGTGATTTCCTTGATGAAAAAATCCAAGTTTTGGAAGAAGAAGTCCAGAAATTAAATGCAAACTTCGATATAACGAAACCTAGAGAGTGTGATGTTGAAAAGATTGAAATGCTTGAAAAGAAACTTGTCGATACAACTGCATTCCTCAAATCTCAACTTCAAGAATTTATGCAAATTAAATCTTTGATTGTTTCAAGAGAAAATGAGTACAATAAGAGATTCGGAAGTGGTCCCAAGGTAGGAACATATAGTATGCAACAACCACATTCTGCTCATTCACAACGTGGATTTGTGAATTAAGAATTTTTTTGTTAATTAGTATTATTTGTTTTTTATTTGTTTGTATAAATAGCGACTATCTACATATATCTTAATATTTTCATTATCTTAATATATTTATAGTTTGTTATTTATATTGGAAAGTAAAGTGGTACAAATAGTATAATTCGTTCAAATCTCAAAATAATTAAAATTTTAATTTAAAAAATTAAGAAATAGAAGATTAGTCATAATAAAAACATAATATATTTATTATCTATAAGACATCAAAAGGTAAAAAATATAAACAAGTTATTCAATAAGCTTATTCAAAGAATCAAGTGGAACTTGGTAAGTTTCGAGTTTGTTTGAGCCTATGACGACTACTCCAAGTGCATTGTCGTGCTTAATGATGCCAGCAAAGAGCCATTTTGGTAATTCAATCTGAGTTTCTGTTTTAATAAGAGCTCTGGCCTTTGGATAGTTAATGTTTCCAATGGCAAGGCTTCCTGTCCTTACCATTGTGACAATCCATCCATTTGCTGCATCCCAAAGATTATCATAAACTTTTTTGAGTCCAATTGCACTTTTAACAGTTCCATTGCTGATCTTCTCGAATATGTTACTTTGTGTTGTTCCATGTGATGGGTCATTTCTCGAAATAATAATATCATCATCTGAAATTACGAAACTTTCGATTTCATCACCTTGGAAGTACTTTTCAGGGTTAACTCCATCAAATACTGTAACTTCATCGTTCGAAAGAAGTGTATAGTATGGTCCAAATGGTATAATTCTTCTTGCTCTAAATGGAGTTGAAAAAATTTGGTCTGCAATCTCTGAATCAACATTATATATGCAAATATCAGTTGGTGTTAATACAATAAACTCATTTGGCTTCACAGAAGAGCCACAAAATGAAATTACGCGATCATTATCAGAAATTTTGAATTGGCACTGGATAATTTGCTTGGTCGCATCAAGGATATAAAAATTAAGAGCGGCATCATAAAATAAAATCATTGTTGATGTAGGATATCCAATTGAATTTTCGTAATAGGGATTTTCCGAAAACATGTCATTAGCAAGAATGAACGTCACATCCATAATCTTGCAATCATGTTTAAATATTGTGTAGTGGATACCTGTGAATGCTCTGTTTAATGAAAATGGTGCAAATAGTAATAATTTGTTATCTTGAATGACACCAAGCGAATTTTTGATCTTACGTACTAATGTGACATCTGTTTCGAAAGTGGGAACATTAGTTTTTGTTGCACCAAGATCCATAATAAAATTTTTGTCACCTTTTGTCATCTCAAATTATCGAAATTTTGTTTTCAAAGAATCGGCATAGGGTTCAAAGAAACTATATGAAAAAATATTGTGAGATCCTTGAATTATATTTAAATAACTACTATTAATCAAAATTAGGAAAAAGAAACAGAAAATGATTTTTAAATTTGCCTTTGTTGTTTGAATACTCAAGTCCTTTTAGTATAACTTAAATTTCTATGAATATGTTACCTACTAATTTTAAGCAATTAATAGCTTTTTTGGATAATTTTGTGAAAAATAAAGAAATATAGTGTAAATAATAAATACAAACATATTTTATGGTATAGAAGATATGATTTGCTGGGCAATAGCTGTCCAGTTCTTCAGAATTGGTTCATCAGCGGATGAAAATCCGATGCTTCGCATTTGTTGGGCGACTCTTTCTTCAGGTTGGGATGCTCTCCTAGAAAGCTCCATCATCTTGCATAAAAAGCGCATTCCGATCTTTTTCAATTCAATTGAAAAAAGTGACACGAGGGAAGTTGAAGAATGATCGGTGTTTTTTGGTAATTCCTTCATTAGAATTGAGTCTTGAGGACATTTTATGCCTGTAAATTCTGCTTGGTTATCCAGGTCCATTAATGAGTAGTTCTGGTATTTTTCTGGATCGAAAGACATGCAAATTACAATTTGCGCGATATCTGATCTTTCTGTTGAGCCAACAACAGGAAATGGTTGGCCAAATGGGGTCAAAACAGCTATTCTGGATGCAATGGCCTGTGCTTCATTAGTGTCATTCGCTAAAATAAAGAGAGTATGACCTGAATATAACGTAAACAAGCAATCCATGATTGTTTTGTTCTTAAATATGTTAATTAATGTTGGACTATCCCTGAGATAAACTGATTCGATCATTGTATAAGTCTCTTTTCGTAATTGTGTTAATGATCTGCTCTGAATTACGTCATTTGGTAGATTTGATATGAATTTCAGTAAGTCTGATTTGATCTCATTGAAATGCGTAAGCTTTTTGATTGGTCTAAGGTCGTTTTTGATGTGTAAGAAATATTCTGGATCTGCGTCATATGGTTCTATATCTTTTTCTGGTGTAATTTTCATCAGTTTCATCATTGATTCAAGTTCGTTAACCTTTGATTGCAAAAGTTCTTTACTTTCTGGATGTTTTTCGATTGTATTTCGAATTGAAACAGTATATTTCTGAATATCATGAGGAAATGTCTCTGCAGCTGATTTCTGTAATTTATCCGCATAATTTTCAAGAGTTTCCATTTTTGTTTCATAAAGGTGTGTAATAAGCTTTTTAATTGGATGTGCAACTACTAAAACAAATGGTCGTGTAAAACCTCTTGCCTCTACATCATTTATTTGCATGTAAATTGCTATATAGAATAAATCATTGTAAACAGATTTTATTATTGTAGGTTTCGGAATGTAAGTTTCACTTGGAAAGTCTGTTGGTGTATTAACAATATATAATAAGAATAAATCTCTATTCTGTATCAACTTGGCATCGTTATCCCAAACAATTCTTGGTGAAGAACCTTGAGCAAACTCAAATAATCCAACGTAATATGATATATTAGATAGCATAGTCGGTGATACTAAAGGAACGGAACCAATATGGGGAGTAGACCATGAACGAAATATCCCTGGTTCTGATGACTCCATAATAAAAAATGATGAAAACATAGTATAACTATTAATTACTGAATGTCTATATAAAAACATTATGAAATCAATAGGTTGTTGTTTAAAATATTTATAACCAAATTTTTTATCATATATCATTGGCAATTGGTCATATGAATATTAAATATCTTAAGCAGTATTAGTAAATAGGATATGAAAAATTAATGAATGATTAAAAAAATAAAATACAAACAATTTATTAATATAAATCAATCATCTTTTTGCAGTTCTGCAATTTTATCGAGCAAAAGATTCAATCTATCAGCTTCATCGCCGTCAATTTTGTCATAAACCTCTTCGAGAGTATCAACGCCGTCAATTTGGTTTATTATTTCAATAAACATGGGATATTGAATTAGTGTCTCTAAGCAATCAATATAAACGGAAGTTCCATGACAATTTGGTATCATTTCGAAGAATCTTTCCAAATATTGCACATTTATAAGTGAATCAAGTCTCAAACTTGGTTTTCTATATATTGGACAGAAGAAATATCTAAAAGCTAAGTCTTTCACCTTACAAGGAGCAAATTCCATTAAAGATAAAATTCTCGAAGGAACTGTTGATGTTATTACATCGTCAATAAGATCTGAATATTCATCCATTAAACAAAAGAAGAATGCGATGGATTGTTTAACCAAAATTTCTGTAAATGAATTTAAAAATGATGCAGCATCTTCAATACTAATAATTCTGAATATGTTTTCGATTTCTTTGTGTAGCAGAAGTTCTGTTGCACATTTAAGTGCATAAAGTTGAATATCTTCATTTTCAATTTGAATTGCTCTCCAAGCAAAGTCTAAACTCATATCAATAATTGATCGAATTGGATGCCCTATTATTAAATGTAAAATGCGGCTTAATGCATCGCCTACAAATATAAGTAAACTGTTATCTTCTCTTGAAAAGCAAATAGCAATCAGATTGAAAAGTAACTCTTGGCATTCATCAGAAAATTTAGTAAAATGTCTGCACATATTACTGAGAAGTGAAGCTGTAGTAATACTCAATTCAATATCTTCAGAAATCAAGCAAAGCTTCATAACTGGTAATAATTTTTCTCCTTGTATCTGTTCCCCGTTTAGTTCCTCCTTTTTATACATGTAATTTGTGCATTCAAGCAGATAAATTTTTAAATGTAATGGAACTTGATATATAGCTTTTTCGATTATGTCAAAGTAGCCTAAATTCATAATCTTTGTTGATAGTTGATCGCTTGACATTAGACATTTATAAATAACGAAAATGCAAGATGCAGCGAGTATTCCAAAATCATCATCTTTATCTTCCACTTCTTTAGTGAGTTCGTAATTGTCTATAAAATACAATACTATTTCTAAAAAATCAGAGTTTTCAAGATAAATCAAAATTTCCTCATTGATCTCAGGAAAACTACTACCAATTAGTTGGATCCTAGTGAGCATCATTCGTCTATATTCTAAATTAAGTGGATTTGTATTTAAATTCGAAATTTCTTCAATTGTCTCTTTAAATTTATCAAAACTAAGCTTGCTTCGCTCAGAATCTCCATTATTTTTTTTCTTTTCTTCCATTTTCAGTATTAAACTTGATTTTGGAAGATCAATAGAAAAGTCTAATTCTTTATAATCTTCATCCATAAATATTAATAAAAGTATATTTTTAAAATTGAATTATAACGATGATTGTATGCTTTTGTCTTTGATTATTGCTGCCAGTAACAATGAAATTTTGATCAAATTTTTTGCAAAAGCTACATTTGAACTCAATATCTATGGGGCAAATGATATGTGGTCCATGTTTTGAATAAATTTACTAAGAAGATAGCCGATTGCAAAGAATGATAAGATCTTTTATATTTTTGATCTCTTCACCTTTGTTTGTGCATTAATGCAAAGGTTGTATATAAACTTGGATATCAAATCATAAACAAGTTCATGGTAATGCCTGGATCGTTAATTTGAAACATTAATGAACATTTTTCTGTTCGGAACATGGATCTCGTATCAGTATGGCATATATCTCCTATAGATCTTATCTAAACTTAATCATTCAATAGATTTGGTGAGTGACCAAATTAGACAAAAAATGAAAAAAAGTAGAAAATGAAAATATTACATCATTGGATTGGAATTAACATCAACGATAAAAGAGGGTAAAAATTGAAAAAGGGAGAAATCTTTATCGCTATTTTTCATAGTATTTTGTAAATCTCACAAAAAATTGTAATGTATTGAAATATTCATAGATTCTAGGATGAATTCTCTTGATTTTGATCGTAAAAGAAAATCCAATTTTGTCACTTTTCCAAAAATGAAAATCTTCATTCGAGGTGGAATTTGGTCAAATGTTGAAGATCAAGTTCTCCTCGCTGCGTACATGAAGTATGGTAATAACCAATGGACAAGAATTGCCTCTCTTCTTCCAAAGAAATCACCTGCACAAGTAAAAGCTCGTTGGGAAGAATATTTAGATCCAACATTGAAGAAAACACCATGGACTCATGCTGATGATGAGAAATTACTTCACCTTGCTCGCTTTATGCCTATGCAATGGCGTACTATTTCACAATATTTTAACAGATCTCCTTATCAATGCATAGAAAGATATCGTGAACTTATTGACAAGGCTACAAATACACCATATATAGATGATAACGAGTCCGCAATTCAACACCAAATGATGCCAAATTTTGAAACCCTCAAAGCAACTCCAGATGGCGAAGAATTCGACCAAGATGAGCGTGAAATGCTTGAAGAAGCTCGTGCCCGTCTCGCAAATACGCAAGGAAAGAAAGCTCGTCGTAAAGCAAGAGAACGTCAATTAAATGTACTTAGAAAAATTGCAAAGATGCGAAAGAAACGCGAACTTGATGCTGCTGGTCTTGTTATTGAAGAAAAGAGGTTGTGGGAAGATGAAGAAATCGAAATTGATCCATTTCGCACTCATAAGCCTTTTTCTGTTAAATTCAATACAGATAAAGACGATAAAGCTCTCAAAGATAACAGATTGATAAGAATCAAGTCAAAACAGAAAGCAGTTAAGAAAAATTTAGAAAGTTTAGATCATCTCAAGCAAGAACTCAAAAACGAAGAGAAAAAGCTTGAAACACCAATAGATCATAGACGTACTGACTTAGTTCTCCCTCAGCCAACGATTTCTGACTCAGAATTAAAATTGATCGAAGAACTTCGCCATCATAACTCAGAATATCTTCAATCGAGATCATCTTTATCATTATTTAACGGAATGCAGAAGCAGCAGCAAAATAAATTTGATTTCAGCATTGAAGAAAAAATTGAAAAGGAAGAAGTCGAATACAAGACTCCTGTTTACGAGAAATCTCTTCCTAGACCTATACCATTGAAATCTGATTATCTAGAAACTGTTGGTCGCGTTGAAGATTTGGCAGATTCTTTAATAAGAGAAGAAGCTTTCAAACTTGCACTTATGGATGCCAGAAAGCATCCTGATACTAGAAGACCTCCTCCAACGCTTGTTGTTCCTATAAATGACGCAATTGAAACGAATTTCTTGACAGACGATAAATCAATGGCCATCCCACCAGATTCCCTTTATGAAGCTGAAAGAATGATCAATGACGAGGTTTCCAGTGTTGTCAGGCCTTATTCTGACGAAGAATTTGCAAATGAATGGGAAAAGCAGCATCCAGAAGAAGAAGACAATGTTGAAGAGCCATTAAATTCTCTTTCATCCAAAGTTACGAAGATGAGACAAATTTTGGACCAAAGATCCAAATCTTTTCTTGCATCTTCAGAAAACTTGGTTACGGAGATAAACCAACGCTCATCTCGTATTTCTAACCTCCTTCGAAACAAAGATCTTTACCTTTCTATTGCAGAAATTGAAGAAAAAACACTTCAACCGAGAATTGACGTCATTAAGCATTCTATTGAAGATCTCGAGAAGAAACAAATGGAGCTTAACAATGAAATTGGAAGGAGAATGATGGAAATCAAGGCTGAAGCAAAGAAAGCAAAAAGAATCAAAAAAGAATGATTTCTTTCTCGTTATTTGCCATATCATCTATATATTCTGTAAATAAATTTTCTTGTTTTGTATTATCTCTCAATTTTCCGTTATTTTTTTCTTTAATATTTTTGAATTTTTATTGATATATGAATTCCGAACTTTCGGATGTCATAATATGAATTACTTGAACGGGTATTTATATCGACGTAGTAGAAAATGAGCTATTCATTATGAAATAAAAAATTTTCTTCCTAATTATTTTGGTTTCATTAATTCCTCTATTAGTATATGAGTATTATATCATATATTTGAATGAATATTGCATCTGTGAAAGGAAAATCTGCATAATTAAAACAAAATATTTTATTATATAGCCAAGTATAATCAAAATGCATTACATATTCTTCTAAATTAGGAATATCATTGATATGATATAGTCTTCAAGGTAAAAAATTAAAAAAAAATTGTAAGGATTTGCGAAGATACATATAATAAATATGACAACATTTATAAATATATATTAATATAAAACAAATAAAACAGCGAAATTAAAACCTAAATATATTGGTTGCATTCCGGATCAAAAAGTTGATAAGGGAAAGTCTTTCTGAAGCTGAATAATCATAAAGTGGCTCAGAAGCCTGAGGAGGAACGTCTCCTCCGTACTGAGTGTTGATTATTTCGGTCTCTTTTTCAATTATTTCTTGGACAGCTGGGTCAAGCGAATTTGTGATTAATTGGGTCATTTCTGGTGATACAGGTTTGAGATCTGTGATCATTTTGTACGACCAAGCATAAATAATAACTGATTTTCGGTTTTTAATATTTTCTACAAGTACAGGGAGGATATTCATGATTTCAGCAGGTCCTATAATAGGTATAAGTGTCAGTTTGACGGCAAGTTTCTCGGCAGAATGTAAAGCAATTGTATGATTTGGAAATTCTTTGTAAACTTTGATAATAATATCAGAAATTTCTTTGTATTTATCAAAAGCGCTTTGGCATTGGCACATTAATGTTAAAAATCTAAAACATGAGGAATGATATTGAAAAAACGTCTTATTTGCAGAAGCTATAGAGGTAATTGCCTTTTCTATGAGTGGTACAAACTTGTCGTATATCTTTTCTTCCATAAAAAGTATCAGGGAATCCCAATACATCTGAAGAACGTAACTATTTGAAGGATATCGAGACAAATATAGTTTTTCTGCAATATCTGTTTCATGTAGTTTTGATTTTACGTCGGAAAACTTGACAAGACCTGCGAAAATTCGATAAACACCTGCCATTGAAATTGTATTTATGTCTGATGCATTTTCTACTGCTTTTGTGATCTCAACTGGAATTGTTTCGAGAATAAATTGCATTGTAGAAGGTTTTGCTTCGTCTTTGGTCTTAAATAAGTCAAAAAAGAAACTACAAATTGTATCATTGTCTCCATTCAATAACAATTTTGGCAAGAAATCGCAATTTTGAATTGTCTTTTCTGGTAATTTAGCAAATAGAGTTTGTAAAATATTGGCCAAAAATGAAATTTGATGAATTTTTGGTTCTGAAGACAAGATTTTATTGACTACTGGATTTAATGCTTTAGAGACTAATAATGCTTCATTTAGAACTACATTTTCTGTACTGACTATCTTAAAAGCGTTAATAGTTTTCTTATCAAGATTTTCGCCAAGAGAATGTTCAGCAAGTTTATCAATGCAACTTATATAGCTGTTTGTTAGAAATAAAACTGAACTATTCAACTAAATCACTTTGTTTAAAATCAGAAGCTGTCCTGTACAAATATTGATAAGAAACATCTAATTCCAGCACAGATTCAAGGGATTCCTTGCCTTCTGTTATAAGCTTCTTGAGTTTCTCAAGAGCTTGGCCGGTATCAAGTTTTCGAATAACCTGCCTCTCGTCCATTTCTGGTGTAGAAAAAAAAAATTCAGATGTTTACAAAATTTATCTAAATAAAAAATTTACGAGTAATATGATTTTGGTGACTATGCTGATTAATTATTGTTAAATTTTGATAAAATCTAGTCATTTTGAGGAAAAAATAATAAATTCTCATTTTTTGATATTGTTTTAGTATATACAGATGATGTAATTACAAAAAATGCAACAAAAATTATAATGGGCCGAGTTTTTATAGAAATTTTAGTAGATTTTATGATGAATGCATACCAAGATGAGAAAGGGACAGACTAGCCCATTGTCACTTTTTAATTTAGCAAATGAACGCTTATGGAGTGGAGTTTTTGGGTAAATCTGATTTGCTTATAAATGAAATAAAATCAAAAGAAACCATATTGGCATTATATTATGCAAAAATAAATGATCTTACTTAGTACTTTTAAAGTTAATTTCAGAAAAAAATTGACACAATGGTATCCGGCACATACAAGTGGTGTACAACCAAAATATAAGTTGGTTTAAACATATATTGCTATATCTCATGATCTTACTTAGTACTTTTAAAGTTAATTTCAGAAAAAATTTGACACAATGGTATCCGGCACATACAAGGAGTAGGGGTAATTTTAGCTAAAAGTGACACACCTGTAAAAAGTGACACACCTGTGAAGGGTGTGATTACCGATCGGTAATTTCGACAGTTTAGAATTTAAAATTTTTTATGGAACTGTTGCGAGTTTCATAAAGAATTTAAGGAATATAAGCAAAGATTTGAATCAAAATCTTAGACCTAAGCCGCTCGATTCGCTCGCGGCTTCCGCGAATTACAGATCAGCAAAGATTTGAATCAAAATCTTCGAACTAAGCCGATCGCTTCGCTCGCGGCTTTCTTTATTATTTTAAATTTGCATATTTCCATCAAAAGTTCATAAGGTAAAAAATTTCGTTTATTTTTACTAAGAAAAAAAAGGTTTTTGATAATAAATTTATTTTATTTCGAAAAAGTAGCAATAATCGTAAAAGGGTATTGATAGGCTTGCTAAAGTAACTAATTTTAGCTGTCAAATACTTTTGTATTTTGAAGTAAATTAGTATAAATTTGTTTTTACTTTTATTTCGAAAAAGTAGCAATAATCGTAAAAGGGTATTGATAGGCTTGCTAAAGTAACTAATTTTAGCTGTCAAATACTTTTGTATTTTGAAGTAAATTAGTATAAATTTGATATTATTTTAACTCCCTTTGAAAACCTCAATTTTCCATACAGAGGGAACGGGAATAGCATCCAATATTCCCTGAGAATGGTTGCGCATTCTCAGTTCCCTCTATATTTCGAACGAAGCTCTCATCGGTCTTTTTTTTAATACTAAACGTTTTTTTTCCCTGTCACTTTTAGCTAAAATTTGGGTTTGCCATCAAATCAATTTTATGGTTCAAAAAATATGTTTTACTATACGTCTAATATTGAATCATTTTCACCGAATATCATTATAAATTTTACTCTTTCAAAAGTTGACTTTATTTGAAAATATTTTGAAAATATTTGGATTTATCTCATATCTATTAAGTCGATACATCCATTTTTAATTAAAATCCTATCTATTATTATCTTGAATTAAATTTCTGAGAATGGCCACAAAGGTACTTTCAAAAAATAAAATATGAGATTGGTATAATGCATGTTTAAAAATACAAATATTTGCATGATAAAATATTTCCACGCCGATGCGATTTTTCTAAATTCAAGTGAAATTGAGAAGGAGAGCCGTGATGAGGCTGTCAAATTTTCTCGTGAATTTTTTGGTAGGTCAGTGGTTATTAAGTAAATGGTTGATGTCTGATGGATCAAAATCATCGTTTAAATTGTGATTTTCTCCAAATTTTTGATCTGATATTGAATAATTTGGAGAAACGAGTGTGGATTTGATGAAACTTGGTTTACCTTGCCTGAGATATGGTAGAATAAGATCCCAATTTTCTGCATACCAGCAAAGGAGAGCTGATCTGTTGCGTTTTGCCAAACGATCCAATTTGAGATCGAACTTGTTGATGAGAATTTTGGCTAAGGAAATGAGAATCGCTGTAGTTACATGGGTCTCAAAATATCTATCAATGTATGCTGCGACGAAGCCAAGTTTTTCTTGATTCAATTTCATTCGATGCTGAATCGTTTCGTAGTCTCTAATGTTCTGGGGTATCTTCATTTTTGATGAGAGGTCTGGTACATCTGATGAAAAATCGTATATCATGTTTGCTAATAACTGAAAAAAAGTGATATAAAATCGTTCTGAAACAAACAAATTGAATGAGATTAATCTTGAAATATGTGGTTGGAGGTAAGTAATGTTTTGTGCAAAAATTAGGGAATTGTAGAAATGTTTCTTTCAATTCCACAAGATTTACCTTTCAAATATTTGAAAGAAGTATTCAAAAATATAATAAAAATCAATGTTTGAATACTGTCATAGGATAATAATATGAATAAAAATTAATTACAGGTGTTATCAAAATTTGAGGCATTGAAAAAAAAATTGGATTTAATAGCATAATTACTATATAGGTCCATAATGTTATTAATAATAATTTTTAAAAATTAAAAATGATTTTTGGAATTAAAAAAATCTAATCTATATTAGATGCATTTCTTAATTAAACAATTTTTTATTAAAATCACAAACTATTCAAAAATTAAAAAAAATTGATTGCATTATTTTTATTATCTTTAAATATCTATCATTAAGATTTTTCGATGAAATTTTCGAGAAGCCTTGATTTAAATAGTTCACAAATTTTTGAATTTTGACTATCTAACAAAACTTATCGATAATTAATTCAAAAATTTCATGATGAATTTACTAATATAAAAGTATTTAAGAATCCATTTTCAGATAAAACAATCAGAAAATTACGCCTAATTCATATTCAAATGGAACAACAGCACATCATGGATTATATTTTGTGGCAATCATCATGAATTTCTTTATACTACTGCTTACATAAGAATATGATGAACCAAATTCTTTTATTTTGAATGAAAATCAAAATTCAACTTCTTATATCGGAACAAACTGAACATTTGCAATGCGAATTCATTCATTATATAATTTACATAATATTTTATAGAATTTGGCTATTACTCATTTTCGAAAAAAAATTTCTTATCGTAGTTCAATGTATGGAATACCAACATTAAATTTCTTGATCCCAATTTCGAATCAAACGAGTAGAGAGTTAATTAATTTAACATTTATACATGCCTAACTCATTTGAATAGGGATAATTTGTATTTCGAAGAAATTTAATTATATAATATTTGTTTGCAGCACAGTACATGAAGGAAGGAACAAAGTTAGATGTGATTTGCTTCATATTGATCAATCTGGATATGAAAAATTTCAAAAAATATTATAAACGCATAAGATATATATTAATTAACAAAATCCCATTCTATTTATAGATTTAATAATTAAAATCTCTTCCAAATTTTTTTGAAATTTGCTTTTTTCAAATGAAATTTCTTAATTTTGAGAATTATTTTTTTAAAATATACAAAATTTTGGAAAAATTTATGTTCTAATTTTTGTTTATTTAGGATTTCTAAGCAAGATTGATCATATAAAATTGAATTTTTAGATTAATTTCAAATAATTTGGCAATTTTTCCTCAAATACGTGATATTTGAGTATTAAATATTAAATATTCGAATCAGTAGAAAACAATAATGCAGTTATTTTTACATCACACAAATTAATCTCATCCAGTTTTAGATTCTTATGAATACTAATGAAGGAAGATTTTCAAAGAACAAGGCCTAATTTTCAATTACATAACAATGTTCAAAACTAATAGCTGCATATTGGAACTATAAAACAATCGTTTAGTTTAAAATTAAAACAAAAAAATACACAAAATATTTATTTACATCTCATTGGAATGGTTAAACAAGCTCAGTCTCGCTTTTTGCTTTTTAACGAATTCCAGAGCTTCTTAATTGAGTGTCTCTCGAAGAAGAGAATCATTAATCCATAAAATGGAGCAAAAATAAGGACATAAAGTATTCTTATTGAGTTCTGGAAGTAAATGAGTGATCCAAATGCTATCAGCTGTATGATATTCGGGAAAAGAGAAAAGAAATTCTTGAATTCGCGTGAAATAACTGTAATAGCCATGATTGATCGAAGAATCATGTTAACTCCATTGGCCATAATAGCTCCTTGTGTTCCAAATATCTTAGAGAAGTAGAAAATCAAGCCGAAATAGATACTTGATACAATGGCCAATAAAATGTTGTAATACATCAATGATTTTTCACTAAGACGTGCATTAGAGAATGCTTCCGTAACACCATTAAAGGCCATGAATGGCATAATGCGTAAAAACCAGGACATGGCTGATTTTGAATCATCTCCACTCCAGCTCTTGCTGTAAACAGTTTGAAGTACAACAGGCGCTAATAGTGGACCAAATGCAGCAGCGCATAGGCCAATGTAAACAACGATTCTGACAATAAGAGAATACATATCGAATTGTAAAGGAGCTGAGCTTGCGCACATAGAGAAAACAGCAGCTTCAATAGGAGCGAAGACTAATCGAGCAATCAGGCTGCTGATATCAGAAACAAATCCGTAAACTCCGATTTGTTCTGGTGTATTCGAAGCAATTAGTACGATACGCTCGCCTTGTGAGAATAGCCATTGGAGAATTGTCTGAAATGCGAATGGTTTAATTGCATTGTATTCATTTCTAGTTGGGAACTCTATTTTTGGCTTTCCGCAGCGGAAATAGAATCCGAATATGACTAGTAAACCGAATATGATATTTGATGCGCCGAAACAAAGCATTAATGGTAGAGGTTCTCCTTCTTGCTTATAAAAGAGTTTTGAGAGAACAATTGATGAAATACTTCTAACTAAGAAAGCAGGACCGGACACCTTTGCAGTTGTTGAGCCATCCATAACAGCAAGTTGAGGAACAGCCCACATTTCTCCAATTAACTCCATAACTGAAGACATCGCAGTCATAATAACTGCTAATGTATATCCTTCAACTTCAGGAGCAGATTTAAGAGAAATGTAAACAATAATAGGCGAAACAATGAGACCAATCAGAAAAGGCAAAATAGCAAATTTATGTGGATTTTGGCTACGAGATGCTGCCTTTCTGATACCATCTCTGGCCCAGAAAACAATTGTTTCTTGAACAAGTGCTAATCTAACGCTCCAGATACCGAATAATGATGGATCTAATGAACGAACGAGTAGCTGATTGCTTATAAAGCTAATCATCTTCGAAAAAACTTGTACAAGAAAATTTGATGACCAAAACTTAACAAAGTTATCCATTTTTGTCAGAAAAAAAAATTATTTTATAAATTTTTGGGGGAGTAAAAATTCGAAAAAAAGGGGTATGTTCAGTAAATATCTGAAGGTGAAGTACCTCAAGAACCGGCAGCAGCTCCAGCGCCAGCCCAGCAGGCACCATCACTTGGAACTGACTTGCTTGCTCAGCATGTTACTATACATATTTCAAATCTTCCTTATACAACAACCGATGAAACCTAAACAACATTAATAAACAACATTGCTCCAGCGTCCAAAATCCAGATCGTTAGACGTGTCGATGGAAAGTCCAAAGGAGTTGCATTCGCAGACTTTACAAATCCAGAAGATGCTAACAAGATTATTCAACAATTAAATGATTATGAACTTGAAGGAAGACAAATCCGTATTAGATTATCTACAGAGGACAGACATCCACGTTATCAGCATAGAAGACCTCCATTTAGAAAACAATATCGCGATCTTGATAGGCCAGATGAAGGCAATAGCCGTAGAAGCTATGATATGCAATTAGATGAACCAATGGAACAGCCAAGAAGACAAAACTATGATAGAGGATATAGAAATTATAGAGGTGACAGACCTCCACGCCAATACGATAGAAATCCTAGACCATACGATCAGGGAATGCAGCAACAAGGAAGTTACCCACCTCCTTCAAATCAACCTCCAATGGCTTGATCTAATTAAGATGAGAAATTTCATAAATCTACATGGTTTAATTTTTGAGTTTTGACTTATTACAATGTTTCTGATTTTACTTTATACGAAATAAAAATATAATATTATATTATGACGAAATTCTACACAAATGCTTCAAAGAATTTAATCATTTGCTTAAAAACTACATTAAAAATATAAAAATGTCCGATACAAGCTTTTAATTATTAAATTATTTTTTATTTGAAGCGATTTAACATTTTTAAATAGTCATTTATAAAGGATGACTCTAAAGTTACTCTTTGCTTCCTTGATTCGAACTAATTTGAATCAAAATAGTACATTATCCATATTTGTTATGCAATTTTATAAAATACTTGATAATAAACAAAACATAAATAACAGTTTAGTATATATATTATAATAACAATATATTTTTCACTTCGGTAAATCGTGTTTTAATATCATCTAATGAAACAGAATCTTCGAAGCCATCATTCATATTTTCCTGAACCAATCTAACAAAATCGTCAATAGACATAGGTATAATGTCTGGAGGCGGTGTTGGAGTTGGAGATGGTGGAGTTTCAGCTATTGGACTATTTTTGGCAATGAAATCATCATGATTCATCGAGTTGAAAGCAGGTGTATTTGAGAAATTAACAGCAGGAGCACCATTGGCCAGAGAATTTTCGTTCATTAAAGAACAAGAAGGAGTTGGTTCATTTAATTGCAAAAGAGAGTTCTGAGTTGATGGTAGTTCCATTGGTACATACCAATGTTGTGTAGAAATGATTGGACGAGGGATCTCTTCTTCTAAAGAAATTCTATGATTCAAAAAAATGACTGTTCTTCCAACAGGTGTTGTAATAGGACCAAAACGTAATCTGGCAGTTTCCAGTTCTGTAAATTCTTCGTTTTGCGCAGGCAATTTTTGAAATGGATCGCAAACAGCTTTAATTTTAAGATTATTCATCGGTAGTTGACTTAATTGCAATTGCAATGTCTTTGCAGGTAAAGTGTTCAACATAGAATATAAACTTCTCATGTTTTGACACATTATTCTATAAGTTTGAATTTTAAGTTCATTTTGATTGTAATTCGTTTGCATTTTTGCATCAGGATGAATAGGGAGTTGAATTAAATGCCATCTTTCTATAACAATATCTGGATTTGTAAGAATAATATCTAATTTGAACCAGCCAAAGAAGTGTTTTGATGAAAGAATAGATCTTAACTGATTTGACTTCCTTATTTGCAGCGAAAATAGTGGATTATCCTTTTCAAGATCTGTCAATGATTCCGGACTTCTGTTTTCGTAAATACATTCAGCTGCTTTTATAAGGAACATACGAGATAATGATGTTAACTTTGTTTTACCACCATCTGTATGATGCGTAATCCCTTCTTGCTGTGAATTTATCATATAAAAATCTTTTAATCGCAAAAATTTGACATGTAAATTTGAATAAGATGTAAACAAAACTTTTTATATTTTTTTTTCTCTTTTCAATTCTATGTGGATTGAAGGATACGATTCTGCTAAAGGAGGAGTGTTTGCAACTTCACCAAGGTACGATCCTACAAACTACATAGGGGAATCCTTTGATTAGAACTATGTTTTATCATGCAATATCAAAGAATTAAAGAAAGAAAAAGAAAATACAAAAGTTAATGCATTAATACGGTTTCTAATTCATGCTAAGGTAGATAAAGATGAATCAAAGGTTCTAAATCACCCGCTTTGTATCAAACTTTGCAAGCTTTTCCAATATTCTTTGTTATTTTTGTAAAATCAAATAACGAATACACATCAAAACTAACAAAAACAGAGTCACAACTAAAAGTAGTCAAAAAAGAATACCGTGAAACATCGAAAACACTTAAAAAAGCAGAAGAATTGATACAAACAACATTAGGTTCTTGTGACAAATGTCCTGTATGCAGCAAAAAGTTTAAATCTCGCCAATATGTCGATATACATATGCAAAATAAGCATCCAGCATTGTTAGAACATTGTAATGCTATAAGAGGAATTCAAATTCCGAAAAAGACGGATGATATTCAAGAAATTCTCGTTAAAATCAATGAATTACAGGAAAACATCAAACAAGAACAAGCACCAAAACAAAATAAACCAGAAGAATCTACAGAATTAGAGCAAGAAGTTGAAACTAAAAAAACTAAGCAGAAAAACTCAAGAAGAAAGCAGTTGAATGATGATCTTGATAAGGCTTGTGATGAGCTTTCATCTTCAATGATTTTATGGAAAGAACAAGAAAAAATGTTAAATCCGTTCCATGTTCAAGATTCGAGCCCAAATTTATCAATCTCCAAACCAAGGATATTCCATGAAGATCCTTCCCCTACTAGAAACAATTTTATTATTGAACAATCTCATGGAATTGATCTTGCTGAGAAAAAAGAACTTTTAATATCAAGACCTGCTTACACAAATACTCCCTTTGATAATTCTTCGACTGTTGAATTGAATATTCCAACAAAAACTCCTCCATCGCCATTAAAAGTTTCAAAAACGGAAAATGTCATTGATATACAGGCAATGCAGACACAAAGCATAATACAAGAAGAAAGGCCGTTAGAAAAAAGAGCAAATACACAACAAAATCTTCCATTTTATCAACCAAATAATTTTGAATATAAAGAACAGCAAAATTATACATATCAAGAAGATACATCCGAATCACAACAAATGTATCAACCAAAATCAAGAAAATCTCCTCGTAAATCTTATGATACAGAAAATGACTCAAAATACATAAAAGGTGATGATATATTCAACAAGAAACCAAAATCCCCACATGTCTCTCGTACATCACCTCGCAAATCTTACGATTACGATAATCAATTAAAAATTGAACCTGTTACAGATGTTACGAACCCAATTCGACGCGCAAGATTCTTCTTATCTAAGGAGAAGACCCCAAGAATCGACGAATCTCAAATTTCCAAGGCCGTTCAAATTATTAATTCAAATCTTCAGAACAATGGAAGGACAGAAGACCTTTCTTCAGACTTTACAAAAGATCCTGAATATGGAATCATGAGGAATTATATTAAAAGTCAGTTGGAGAAACAAATCCCTATGAAGTATGAAACTCCAAAGCCACAAACAACATCCAAATCTTCTAAATCTCCATCTCCGAGTCGAAAAAGTTCTTCATCAAAAATTCAATCTTCAAAATCTTCTCGGAAAACATCATTTAGTAAGATTGATTCTTCAGACAATAATCAAGAATACGGAAACTTTAATCCGCAGCTATTTTACCAAAGAATTCAATTGATAATAAGGAATCAAGTGATTCTGAGAAATCTTTTTCATATAATACCGAATCTTCAGAGGTATCTAATGCTTACAAACAACATCAAGCAGAAAAACTTCATGATGATTCAGATGATGTCAAAATTGTCAATCCTTTCAACAGCAAGAACATAGCTGAACATACTACAACTACAGAATTCAAAGAACCAGAACAAAATCCAAGTAAATCTGACAAAGCTGGTGATGATTTGGTAATTCAAACCAAAGAAGTACAAATTCCAGCAGATTCAGGTAAAAAATCCGATGAGAAACAACCAGAAAGAGTTCTACCTGAAAATAAATCAACTCAAAACAAGGAAGTTAAATTATCTGAAAATGTTTCTCCTCAAAATAAAGAATTACCTCAAGAAACAAAGCTAGAAATTAAAGTGAAGCAGAAACCATCAACTAACACAGTCATCAAACCAGAAATTAAAAATAATAATGACCAAAATCAAGACAAATCTTCTCAAATCGAGATTAAACAGAAGGAACAAGATGAAGATCCACCACAATCACAAACTTCTACAAAGAACTCAGAAAATCCGAAAGATCAAGACCAAATCTCAGCCAAAGTTCCAGAATCTGATAAATCAGCAGCTCAAAAAGCCACTAATAAGGGAATCAGTGAAGAAAATAGCATCCAGAAGCCCATAACTCCTTCTCCAAAGAAAGTCGAAATTTCTCCAAAGAAAACAGATAAGAAACAAGAACCAGACGATTATACATTCGACGAAAATATTGATCCATTCAAATCAAAGCCGAAAATTGCGAACGAAATTGAAGATATCAAACCAGAATCTTCAATTACCGGAAGCAATCCATTGCTCACAATTACGAAATCACCAGTTGATAGCACAGGAATGGTTGTTGATGATGGTATCGATATTCAGAAAAAGAGTGAATTGGAATTTTCAAAGAAAGAAGAAGAAAACAATAAATCGGACTCCTTTGATCTTGACAACATTGAAAATCCCTTCGCGTCCAAGCCAAAAATTTCAAACGATACTGATCTTGCCACGCCTACGAAATCCAAGTTTGATGATGAGGACGATATGTTCGCAATAACAGCAACCCCCAAATCAAAGATTGCTATTAAGGCCAATCCTCCAGATAATGATGAAATTCCTTTACCAAAACAAGAATTATTTACTAATTCTCAAGAAAAGGAGGAAATGATCGACCAAAAGCCAAAGCAAAACACATCTAAACCAGATTCCATTGAAGAGAGACCAATTAAACCAAAATCTTCTCAAATTAATTGGGACGATGATATCAAGCCTCAACAAAAGCCAAAGAAGAAGGTCCAAAACTGGGATGATGACAATGATGATGTTTTCAAGGTCACATCTCCTCCAAAGAAGAAGATTACTCCGAAGAAACCGAAATCATCTTGGGCGGATGATAACGATGATGTATTTAAAGTAGACATTGCACCAAAACCTAAGAAGAAAGCCACAAATTGGGACGATTCTTCAGACGCTTTCAGAGTTGCTCCTCAAACAAAATCTCTACCGAAGAAAAAGGTTACAAGCTGGGATAACTCATCAGATGCATTCAAGATCGATCCACAGCCTGCTAAAAAGGCACCTGCCAAAAAGAAAAATACTTCGAATTGGGATAATTCTTCAGATGCATTCAAGATCGATCCGCAACCAGCTAAGAAGAAGAAATTTGATAATAATTCATGGGATGATCCATCAGAAGATGCTTTTAATCCTCCACCTCCGAAGAAGAAAACAACACTGCCAAAGAAGAAAGTCCAAAATTCATGGGATGATGATGGAAGTATTGATTTTGATAATATTGTTGATCCATTTGCTTCAAAACCGAAAATTACAAGTTGGGATTAATATTTTTTATATAAATTTTGTTTGTTTGATTAAAATATTGCTGACTATCTATCAAAAAGTTGTTTTTCAATACACTACTTAATACATAAGGACTGAATTCAATAAAGAAAATATTCAGGTCATTAGTATTAAATATACAGAAAATAATAAAATAAAAATAACTACGTATGCACAATTCATGTCATTTTATGGAAGGAATCTGCTTTTTTTTTCAATATGAAAGTTTTCTTAAAATATGAGCTCAAAATAGTAATTTTTATTATCAGTTTTAACAGTATTTTTCGAGGCAAGCATTTATCATTCCATTTTATCGACACGAAATAACAAACCATTTTAATGCTAGGAATCAAATTATTAATAAAGCATTATCTTAACTCGATCTTAGAAATGCTATCTATGAATGTATTGGGCTAAGGATGTCAATTTGGAAGAAAAGTGAGAAAATTCCTAAAATGCTAAAAATGAATTTTCCAAACATGCTTTTTTATCTCATTTTTTTGATTTTGAAAAAAATTTGGAGAGAAGAACTCTTCGTTTTTGAATTTTATCACGATGGTTTTAAAGTATATTAGACACATGTATTGATATTACTATTTTTGTATATTTTGAGAGAAAATCCCTAAAAAGTGAGAAAATCTAAGACGGTTTGAGAAAATATATAAACTATTGAAAATTTGAATTAAACTTCTAATTTGGAAAAAAGAAATTTGGAAAGAAGAAAAATCAAAAATCGAGATTTAGACTCAGCATCAAATGGAGAACAAAATGTTTCTTCATATGAAGGGAAAAAATTTTCTTGTGAACAAATAGAGTTTTTAAAATTTTATTGTATGTAATGAAATAAACAAATATTAAAATTATTTTTTGATAACAAGAAAATTCCCAACAGAAAATATTTGAGACAAAGAAAAAAAGAAAATTGAAAAATATTACTCTCCTTTATATTTCATGAGATTTTAAATTTATTCTCATAAAATTGACAATTTTATACGTTGAGATGAAAATAATTGATTTTGCTTGAAATAAAAATTATTGTTTCATACACAGCTATCAAATAGATTTTTGCTATTTTGATTAAAATTTGTTAATCAAATTAATAAATTTTTTGTAAATATCTTAAATATCTGGATCACTCTCTCTATGATACAATGAGAATTGAGCGATAAAAATAATACAAACTCAACTAAGTTTCCTGTCTTTCAACTAAAAAAAATTATGCAAATTAAATTAAATTGTTTATTCAAATATTAA